GGACTCAACCACTATGGTGAGATGAAGAGGTTGAAAGGGCATGGCTGGAAAAGAGTCAGGGTGGGGCAGAAGGCCAGGAAGAGTAACACATCCCAGCCAGATTTCCTGAATGACCTGAAAGATAAAGTTAACAAGGCGATTATTGCCTTCAAGTGATGTGCAACACAGGTCAGGAATGAGAAATAAAACGAGAGTACTGTAAGAAAGTTTGCTCGGAAGGATCTCTAGCAACATTTTGACGACTTCACCAGGCAGTAAACAGAACCACTTGAGGTCAGTGTATCCCAGACTTTCAGAGCACAGATCTTACATGGCAGAAAGCTGAAGCAGGCAAAGGTCAGGCCCTTCTTCGGTGATACTTAAAGCAGACTGACCCAAAAAAGGAGGCAGCCGGACTTTGAGTTAAGACAACACTCTCGGAGTTGTGCTAGAAGGCAGAGCTGAGTTATGTTATCACCACTGACAATGCATGACAATGCTAAAAATCACACAACACTGCCCCAGGCACCGACAGCATCTGACATGCTGCAGATGTCAGAGGATGACAAAACTGGCAGGAGAATTCAACAGAAACATCCAGAAAGGTCAGATCAAAGAGGAGTGGCTACACAGCTACTTACTACCACTGCCAAATCCAAACAAAGACCACTCCAAGATCAGCGGCAACAGAATTATTATGATGCAGAACACTCTAGGCAAACTTCTAGAGAAAATAAACTCAGTGATGACTTGGAAATGGCTGACAGGTTACTGTCCATATTTGGAGGATACAGTTGAATAAAGAGACATGGCTCAATGTGGCAGTTTTCGCCCATGATGTCAATAAAGGTGCCCTTTGACTACCTGGTGCAGATCCTCCTCCAACTGAAAATATCTTCCTTCATCATTCGCTGGCTAGCTGTGACACTGTTCCAGTGATGGGTGGTACTCAGGGGTGGTTGCTGGTACTCAGACCTGAAAACCATTTGTCCCAGATTACCTCAGTGCTCTTCAATATGTATACATTGCAACAAACTGACCAGCAATTGATGGGAAGTGGCAGGACTTCTTCATTTGCTAATGACATTTTGGTCTGTCATCATGTTAGAAAGCATCAAGAGATTGCCAATACAGTGAAAAGTGAACTTGATCGCATCTCCTCCTGGTGTGTAGACTCAAATGCTCATGTCAACCTTCAAAAACCACATTAACGTGGTTCTCCTTGAACATGCATATGGTTAAGGCAGGCCTACCCGTCGTGGAAATTAGCGGCAAAGTTTTGACGAGAACACACCTGATGACATATCTGGGTTTGAAGTTTGATCCCAGTCTGTCCTTCAAAAACCATGTTGACCCTGTTATAACAAATGCCCATAAGGACTTATCAGCAATGAGGGTCCTGGCCACCGCCAACATCGAGCAGAGACTGCTTCTGCTACTTTTCCAGGGACTGGTTCTTTCTCCAATTAAACATGCTTTAGAAATACTTACCGTCATTGATACTCAGATTGAAAGACTGGAAAAGGTGCATATGAGATACCTCTTGCATAGCAATGAAATATCTTCTTGACTTTCCGACAGTGTATCATACGATGAACATTTAGGAGGAATCGTGCATAGCTGAAGATAAGCTTTTATTTGAAACACCCTCTGCACAATGTTCTCTTTAGAAAAAAGGGCAACAGGCTAAAAAGGGACAAATCATGGCTTGGTAAGACAGAGGACGATATACAGGTCTGCCTTCTCACAGACATCAACCTTGGCGAAAAATGGATACTTGTGCCCCAGGTGCTCAACTGCACCGTTTCCTGTGTTGTCACATTTAATAAGAGTTGTCGGGAGCAGAACCAAGTTGCTGTCAATGCAGAGATCTAAGGGCTTATATGTGAAAATTCAGATGAGGCAGATGTACTGATCTACACAGACGAGTCCATTGTACGAGGACAAAAAAGTCCATGGGCATTTACTGCGTTTTCTGCAGGCAGAATAGTCAAGGAGGCCAGTGGTGCCTTCTGTATGAATACTAGCAGCATGACAATGGAGATGATGGCGATAACATGAGCTTTCATGTGACTAGCATCGCAGGGCTATTCTCTTGTGTGTGTGCTGAGTGATTCCATGAGCACGATCCGGCTGATCTATACGCAGACAGTGGATCAAGTCATTGCAAAATTGCAAAACTCCCCTGTGTGTGGAGTTACCTTCATCTTTGTCCCAGGAAATGCAGGTGTTGTTGTCAATGAAAGAGCTGACAGATTAGCCGGCTCTGCCTTAATTACAGAGGGCCGGCCCATGGATCATATAGACATTGTTAATGCCACAGGATAGGTAGAACAATCAGAAGATTTTGTAAGCAGCACATTCACATCTTTGCTAAGAGTGCAAGATTTGGGTAAAGATCTGCATAGCCAGGCACTAGAAGCACACCGAACACTTGAGAAGTCTTGTCAACCAACATAGGACTGGTACTATCAACTCCGTGACACTGATGTATATGTTGAAGGGGGAATCTGAGCACCTATGGACATGTCCAGAGTGCCATGAAGGCAACCTAACTCATAACTCTGGCAGAAAATTCTGGTTGTTCATCCACCTGCGGATTTTAGACTTTTTTCAGAACCTAAGTGTTGCATGCACGTCCAGTTAGTCTCCCAATTAGTCGACTCCTACGACATGCTTGTTGGGGAGACAGTTGGTCTGTTCATGTTTTCCCCCACAACGTGACCCTGGAACCAACATACATCCATGTCACATGGTTGATAGGGCTATTCCTGTGCTGGTTAAAAAGACTTTTTGTGTGCCCGGTGTGTCTCTTAGACTCAGCAGTGCCAGCCTTCAAGCCCAATTCTTGCATCTTTAGCAGTGATTCTTAGCTGCTCCCAATATACTTTGATTGTCCTATCTCTTTGAGGGAATTAAATTATTAGCACGATTCATAGGCAACCCATCTGTAGCTGAGGCAGAACCAGCCAGTCTGTAAGCTCTTTTATTGCCAACACCCAGTTAGCCTAGGACAAAAAAAAGGTAACTGCACGGTGAAGTTTTGCAGTGACTCAATCCATTGTCTGTGTACAGAACCTGCCTCAGACAGCTGGAGGACACAAATGTATGCTATAGATGTAACTAAGTCGACCCAGCCTTAAATGGGTACCATGTATGGTCCTGGGAAGTAAAGGCGACTGGCATGATATTGACATCTTCCACAGAGTAAAACTATAAAATATAGATCTAGCCATATATTCCCAGAAGGCCTGAAAAAATTGTCATTAATTTGCTTTACTTATAGATGTTATTGTTATTTGAAACTAACTCAGTGCTATTTGGTAACCAGTGTCATTTGTATAAAATTGATGAGTGAAAGAGAATTCTCAGGAGCTATATCAATTCTATTGTGATGTGTGGAAGTGAATTGTAGAGTTGGTTGATTAGTGAACAATTATTTCAAACATTTTTGAACTTGAAGTGGTTGTATAGACAGATAATGACAATACCTTGGACTGATAAAAAGAGTAATGAAGGTGTCATGAGAGAAACTGACTCATGAAGAGAACTTATTGCCCACATCAGGAGACAGTCGACATTCTTTGGTCACATCAGGAGAAAGAGAAAACTTGAGTACATCATGACGGTGGGAAAGCTGGAGGAGAAAAGAGGCAGAGGGAGACCGAGAGAGAAGCTGCTGGACAGTTTGACATCATGGAATGGAACATCATTTGTGTCAGAATTGATTGAGACAGAAGGTTTTGGATAGACATGACTGCCAGTGTCACATAAGATAGACTTTAGAAGAAGAAAAGTGTAGTTTTGTTTAGTGCTTGTAGTTGAATGAAGATAGAAACCTTAAATATGTACTCAAAAAGGTAGGACTTCTAATAATTCCGCCTGGTCTCTGGGCAGTGAGACAGGACACCTGTGTGTATTGTTGCGCACATAAAAATATCCTTTGGCAGTTGGAAATCGAAAAGAGTAACCTAACGGCGCTGCCTGGGCAAAATTTGGAGTTGAAGTATTTCAGGATCCTTGCCGGTGCTACAGAGCCTGTGCACTGTGCTGAACTTCTTTGGACTCAGACTTAAATAAGAAGAAGAACGGAACACTTATGGGTTACTACCTGTGTGCCAGGATGTTGATCTATTGTTCAAACCTCTAACCTCAAACCTCAAGAAGGTAATACTTGTATCTTATATTTGGGGAGTAATTTTAGAAGTGTTACTAATGTTGGACATGTTGGGCTAATACTTACTTAGTTGCTCCTCTTCCACCTTGGAGTGTACAGGTTTGCCAGAGAGATCACCAGACTTCTCTATCAGTAATTTTCTTCCTAGAATGTCTTTGTATTGGAACCCACAGGGGCATAGGAATAAAGGATGGCCAAAAAAGTACACGGAAAAGGGAGCTGGAGAATGAAGTTAAAAATATGGGGAGGACATAGGGAGAGCTGCATGTGATAGCAAAGGATAGAATGACTTGGCTTGAGTGGGTTGAGGGTCCATTTGCTATTGGGGGCTAGAAAGGCAGAAGAAGAAAAAGTTTTCTTTCTGGCTTTGTTCCTTTTCAGTCCTCTGTCAGTTAGGGACTGTGGGATGTTGTCATCTGACTGACTCACTGACTTTCAACCCCACCAGGGCACAATTCCCAGAAACTCCATTCAAACCATAGGTTATATTTAGGGCCACCGATGACAGCCGAGGTGGGGCTTTAAAATAACAAAACAGTTGTGTCCCCTATTGAGGCTGGTATTGATGGTAAATTTATTTTAAAAAATAAACGTCTAGTTTACGTTTCCTACTACATAGAATTGTAGGTCCTATTGCACAGTAATTTAATTTATATTTAACTGCACCAATAAATAAAATTTTAAAAAACATGATATGGTATTTTATGCCATTTCCAGTATATTTTGTACGCATGCATGACATATAACTTGACATATGGTATTCGAGCTGCATTAATTTTGTAAACTTGTTTTCATTTATATATTAGTGATATATTATTTGGTTTTTTTTCCCCTACATGTTTAGAGAAGATGAATTCCTGACCTTATTTGAGAGCTCTCCTCAACCAAAGATAAAACAGCTTAGTTCAGATGCAAATTCTAATACAATGAAAAAGAAAATTTCCGTTGATGCTGTGAAAGTTTTGTGGAGTGAACCAGTAAGATTTTCATTTCAATGTTTGTTTTCTTGCTTTCTGGATAAACTGATTGCTGTAATGAAGGTTTAGTAATTTCCATTGTATATGCAGGTGGATCATTTGGTTGGGCGGTAGTTTTTGTGTGTGTGTGTGTGTGTGTGTGTGTGTGTGTATGTGTTTTCCCTTAAAAGGGCAGTTGGCACATTATGTTGTGGCTTAGCTAAGCTGTCATATCAGCTCATTTTGCTCACAAACACATTTAATTTCAGCCCAGTATTAATTAGTTGCCTTTTACAATGGGCTTAAGAGGTAGGGTTGTTCTTTTTGCCTCCAAAACTGACCCCAGGGACCCGCATGTAGGGGAAAGACTTGAGTGTGTTCTAGCTGAAACATCAGCATTCATATATCATCATCATGTTGTGCTGTCTACACCACATAGTGCTCGCAGAACATTCTTCCATCCCATTTGATAATTATCGATTGAAGCCAGCCCCAGCACCTCTGACCTCTCTCAGCAACATTCTTCCTAGGGTTTCTCTTGGAGATCTTTTTTTCCCCTCAGTCTATTTATTTCTTATTTCTATGCCTGTTTAGTTATTCTCTGTCCCATTCTCTTCATGATTTGTCAAAGTCTTTATTAAAACAAGCGATTGTCCTGGATTTTTTTTTTCTCAAATTCTTCAACCTGTATGTATTGATCTCATTTCGTTCTCCTTAAGCATTTGTTTTTTTAATGCATTGAACTTTCATTCCATGCCTTTAGTGTTTCTCCAACTTTCACTGGCATGTGCTAAATTTAAATAACATTATAATTTATAGTTCCATATTTTGTTCAAGCTTTTTAAAGATGCTGTTGCCTTGCCATTGCAGATCATAACTGTTTTCTTTGTGTCCTTGGCAATTTAAATTCCTACATATATAGGTCAACTGATCTGTTATTTGTGTCTTTAATATATTCTTACTTGCAACTGGTACCATCAGTATTGGAACTCTGCGCTGGCTGCTGTAGATGAGGACGGAACATGCATGAAAATGCCCTGAGTGCTGTGATGTCAGTTCTTGACTCAACTCAACTCAACTAATATATTCTTTTCATAACTGATATTTAATTCCTATCATCGCTATCATCATAAGTCTTGCTGACTATACGGGTGATCATGTAAGAAAGAAAAAAGTAAAGTGAATAAGGGACGCTTTTCCAAGTCTTCAGATGTATTGGTATATAGTGCTAGAGCTATAATTTTTTAGATCAGTGGGCACTCTGTGAGTAATGGGGTCAACATCATGCCGGCCACCTTTACTTCCCAGGACTCGAGCTGGTACCCATTGAATAGGTGATTATGCCTCTCCACAATCTGCAGTTTTTTAACAGCATGTATCAGTTTGTGTGCTGACACCCCTTTATGCCATGACAAAGGGCTGTCAGGAGTTTTCTCCTGTTGCCTTCCCTTGTTTCTTTTTCCACATATCTTTCCAGTTCTCACAACGTGTTCCAGTTTACTTCTCATAATTTGACAAAAAAATGATGCCTGCCTCTTTTTATGATGTTTATGATAAGTTGTCTTCAGACCTCTTTCAAAATATCTGGGTTGCTGTTTTTGGCTGTAAGAAATTCTAAGAATTCTTCTATAAAATCATATCTTCGAGGCTTGAAGAAATTGTTTGGCTTGTTCATCAATTTTTCACATATAGATGTGAAAAATTCTCTGAGAGATATCTTCTTTTTCTTATTCATGTTCACCAGCTGTAAACTCCAGCGGAAAGTTCTGGATATCTAATATTTATTCATTGTCATCAATATTCATGAATTAGTTGGCTTTGGCTACAGTTACATGCTCCTGACTTGGTGGTCAGTTTGTGACTACCCTGGTAACATAAGTAGTTATGGGTACAGCCTCGGCTAGTTTTAGTAAATGCTTGTTCAGTGTGTGGTAAATAATTCTGAAGGCACAGTCTTTATCAACTGTGTGTCCAGCAAGGGACATCCTGTCGAAGAATTGGGTCCCTCTTCTTGGCTAATGAGAACATATCCCTAAATGGCTCCACACAAAATAGTGGTTATGTTCAATTATTAATATCTTTGTTATTTTATATTTCAGCCAAAAAGATTTATTTGTTTGCTTTATCTTATTTATTTATTTAGTACTCACTGAATATGAAATTGCATAGAAAAACCACTCAACAACCAATAAATCTTGGTGTTGGTTCGAGATCCTAAAAAAATGAAATACCACAACTTTATTTAGTATTAAGAAGACAGCAAAATATGCCAGGCAGTAAGTTATAGAATCTGTTTATGTTGTTGTAATAACTAGATTCATTTTGTTTAAAAACAGAAATCAAAACCCAAAGCTAAAAAACCAGCATGGGCATCAAAACCTCCTTCAGAAAATAACTCGTCAAGATCTGATGTGCCCTACAACATATTCCGTCCAACTTCAGTTCAAAGCACTGATGATGAGCTAGGCAGTAGAGCTGAGATGATCGAGGAGCTGGGGAACTCTCTTTCTCTGTCAATTAATAAACTTCAAGCTCTACAGAACCAGCTAAGTGGTGTTAACCGACAAGATATTGGCGACAGTCCTGGAAACAACCTAGCCATGGATAGTTTTAGATCTGCCTCGTCTGCCTCCACATTAACACCCTCCAGACAACTTCATACCCCGGTATCTGTTGGTGAGTTTGCTGAAGCTGATAATGCTAGCCATGCTACATCTTCCCTAGCTATGCAAAGACTGTGGGATGGAGAGTATGATGCCTATGTGAGCAGCGGTCTGGCTAACAATATCAGCCGGCCAGGACAGATGCAGAAAGCAAAAGCCACTCTTTCTTCAATGGAAAACTCATATCAGAACTTTAAACGCAAGACACCAGTAAACCAGGTGAATAGCTCCACAGCTTTAGGTAATGCTGCAGCCGGTCAGTCAATAACCACGAAGCCTGGGCAGCAGAACATGGCTGGAAATAATAGTAGTTTGACGACTGGGCTGAATCACAGGACTTCATTTAATTCATCTGTTCAAAAGTCATTAGTCCAGAATAAGGCTGAGGAATATTTAAGCTGCTTGGACTCAGCAGCAACAGTAATTCAGAAATGGTATCGCAGACACAGAACTCGACGTGTTGCTGCAGAAGCAGCGATGAGAAGACTGTTAAGTCAGAAGAAGGAGGTGAGTTCCTTAATCAAATAAACTTCATTTCTTTTTCAGAATGCGTCAGCTGTAAGAGACATCTCTTTCACTCTGTGATTTTACATTTTGTTTATTACTTGTTTGGATTTGACCAGTACTTCATCAGTGCACATTTTTTAAACCCAAGGTGCTATTTGAATATCTGTATATATTAGTTCTGTTCATATTCATAGTTTAGGGAGTCCCATGGGGCAGAGGCTAGACGCTCATGTGCGGATCAAAAGGTCATGGGTTCGATCCCTGGCGGAGCCGGACTTTGTTTTTTAAAATGACTTTGACTCCCAGGTCGACCCAGCTTTGAATGGATACCGGGTGCAGTCCCAGGAAGTAAAGGTGGCCTGTGTAATGCCGACCACATCACCCATCTTATGCAGATTAGTTTATAAAAATATTTAGCCCTATATGCCCTATACACCTAAAGGTGTGTTAAAGGGACCTTTACTTTATATTAATAATTTGCAGGTTAAAAAAAAAACTGTTTAAGTAAGAAAGAAAGAATAGAACTCTTTTTATGCCTTTGGCTCAATGGGCATATATTGCAGTACCTTTATTTTTATAGACCAATAAAGGGCTGTGGTCAGCATAGTGCCGGCCACCTTTACCTCCCAGGACATTACCTGGTACCCATTTTAGGCTGGGACATCCTGGGTGCAGATGTGAACCCAAAACATTTGTGCTGACAGGCAAGCATCAAGCACCTATGCTTCCATGACTCCCATTGGTGTGGGCCAAGGCTCTTGAAGTCACTGGTTTTACAGTTGTTTAGTTGGCCTGGCATGAAACCATGCTTGTTTCTTCAGCAGGACACTGGGATCATTTAGAAGTGACATGTTAGAATCCCACTGTACCCACAATAGCTTTTAATGTTTATGTCGACTGGTATGTAATCTAATCCGTACTTACTCCATCCTCTTCTGTTTCACTGACTTATTTCTCAGCAAGCAACATACAATTACACTATTTTCATGCTCTTTTAATCCTGTCTCTCTGGGAAGGTAAATCCAATCATTTCCAGTTGTGACACAGTTGTGTAAATACCGATATATGGCCATGTCTGCCTTGACCTTTGTGTAATTAAAATCCTTTAGTCCTATTTGCAACTGCGAGGTGTTTACTAGGTCAGGATGTGAATATAGTAAATTAAAAAATTGCATTTGGTGTGTGGGTAGGGGAGGGAGGGTCCTTATGACCTCAATGGCTTCTTGAAAGCCAAATTGAGGTAAAATTTTCCTGCAGGCCTCAGTGATATAGATCACAGCATGAGTCACCCGATACATTTTGTGTTTTCAGGCACAGAGTAATGTATTCCATCTAATGCTTCACTCTGTTCAAGTTCATTGATCACCCCTTTATATATCTTTATATATTCTTGAAAAAAAAAAAAAATTTTCATGTAGATAAGTAAATTTGGTTAAAATTTCTTACCTACTTGTGTAATATGGTTATTATTTTTTTTAAGGGTTTCTTCCAGAAATTCGTGTGGGTTCATGACCAGTTGTATTAGCATTTGGAGGATGAAAGGGTTCATTCATTTAGTACCAAACAACTCAGCATGCATTTGCTGACAAATCCATGCAGGATTTGCTTTTTGTAAATCAAAGCGAATCATTCAGTTGTTACATTATTGCTCTCTATCTTAATTGTTAATTAAACTCAGTCTTTGAGATTTGCTTTATTATTTGAACATTTTAGACCGAACATTTTTCTTCTTCTGGAGGCATGCAGTGGTACCTTTCTTTCAGCTTCATTTTATCAGCGCAACTGTAAAAGACATTGTGGGATGAGTACTATAACACCAGTAAAACTAAAGAAATGAGAAATAATTTCAAAACAGAAAATTCAGTTATCTTAAATAATGAAGTAATAGAGAAAGTTGAAGAATTTATATACCTCAGAAGTAAAATTATTCCAGGTGGAGATTCTGAAAAGGATGTAACATCAAGAATAAACAAAGCAAATCAAGCATGTGCCAGGCTTAACAATATATGGAAACCAAAAGGGACTTAGTTTGAGGACAAAACTCAGAAAATACAAGAGCAACATTTTAGGACTACTATTATACAACACTGAATGTTGGAAAATGACAGCGGGAATCACACATAATCTTGGGACTTTTCAAAATAAATGTTTAAAGAGAATTCTACGAATATTTTGGCCAAACAAGATCACAAATGAAGAACTGAGGAGGGAAACAGAATGTGCATCACTGGTAATTGTTATCAGAGTCAGACGATGGAGCTGGCTTGGACTTGTTTGCAGAATGCCTTGTGATACTGGCAAAAAACAGCTCTCCGGTGGACAGCAGATGGGAAAAGGAAATGTGGACGACCAAAGGAAACCTGGAGAAGGACAATAGAACAGGAAATTAAGGAATGAAAACCGACATGGGATACCATGGGCAGATCGGCAGCAATGGAAATCACTTGTGAATGCCTTATGTGTCAACAGCGACATGAAGAGGATATAGTAGATGAGTACTATCACCTTCTTTTAAATATATTTTGTGGTGACTACCGGCACATTTTTTCTGGGGGAAAAAGTCCTGGTTCAGAGTAACAGCTGATTTAGATAGAATGGGATAAAGTGGCAACTGTCTGGAACAGACAGGGTGGAAAGGGGGCAGAATGGCTAAGAGGATTTACACATAATAATTCTGGAAGCCATATGGTATAATGGCCAGCACATTGGCTTTACTAGGCTAATGTTTTATAGGTTCAAATCTTCATCAAAATTAGCTTTGATTCCCATGTAGGCTCAGTGTAAAATGGGTAAAGGGAAATTTTGTGGGAAGTAAAGACACTCTGTGCTATTTATAACATCTTCTACTGAAAGCTGATTTGATTATAAATATATGGGGCTAACAGGTCAGTGTCTGGCTAAGGGGGTGTGAATGCAGTTTGTATTTCCAAAATACCCTGTTCAGTTCTGCTGCAGGTGATCTAGTAGCAATATGCCCTGCAGTGAGGCTAATCAGAAAGCAGTGGCAAACCACTGAATGTAAATTATTGCACAAGTAACTTTTTTTTTGGTAGCACCATATTTCTTTTGTGGGTTAAAGAGCCCCATCATGGGGGGGGGGGGGGGGGGGGGGGGAGGGGGGGCAAGAATGGGCCCACTACCTTTTCCCCCATCCTAACCAACCGTGTCATAAAAGTTGACTATGCGACTGGGATATTTCTTGTGAGTGTATCTGCCTGAGAGGTGAGGAACCAACAGTCTGCCTACAAAAAAAAAACCAGATCTGTCAATCAGATATGCATGCAAAACCCAAGTTCTGGAAGAGTACAAAAGTCCAAGAGGACGAAGAACTAGAACTTTCCATTGGAATTTACAACAGCAAAATTACCCCAAAGAAATAAAGAGGAAGAAGAAAGAGAAGCACCATATAGGTAATACTAATGGACAGTGGACATTTAGTTTATTATTCATTTTCACAGCATCATGTATTCTTATCCATTTGTAATGTATACACAAAACAGGAACATGATATCAGGAGGCAGCAAGAATATGCTCACTCTATGACCTCAGAAGAAATAGAAGCAAGAAAGGCAGAAGAGAGGAAAAAGATCAGGGAGGAAAAGGCAAAGGAGGCCCGGCAGCAAGCAGTTAAGGTATTTGTTTCAGACAAGTAAATAACTAATGTATTTATCATAGGACATCACTGAAACACTCAGAACTGGTATTGAGTTAATATATGTGAAGCACATGTGAATACCATTCTTAACGTATGTAACCTGCTGTTTGCCCTTATTAAAAATAATTATTATAGTGCTTCAAAAGTTGTGCCCCAAGCTTCAACAGATTTGCAACAACTGCTGTACAGATCAACATGAATTTTGGCATGCAGTCTTGGATCTCCCATATCCTTATAATTTTTTCTTCTTCGCGTTCACCAGCTGTACACTCTGGTGGAAAATTCTGGTTGTTTGTCCACTTCTGAACTGCAGTCCTGCTCCAGAACCTGAGTGTTGCATGTGCATCAGTTTTACAGATCTGATTCACTTGAATGCAGACTGTTGGTTCCTTGCCTCTCAGGCAGATGCACTCTGACTTCAAAGGAAGCTCCCCAATTAGTCAACTCTTACAACATGCTTTTGAGTAGGCAGAGGGTCTATTCTTGTTTTCCCCACGATGGGGCCCCGGAAACCACACGGGGAATCCTTATAATTTAATAATTTAGAGTTGTACGAGATCAAGTGAATAATGATATTACCAGACGAATTGTGGGAAAGACACCTTGCACTAGATTCATTGAGAAACAGCAGATCAAATGGTTTGGCCATCTCGTTAGAATGCAGCAAGATCAAATACCATCACAAGCACTACATTTCAGAAGATCAGCTAGAAGAGCAAGAGGACGGCCGCGGAAAATACGGATTGACAACAATAAAGACACTCTACGCCTTTACCACATGACAATAGCCAGCGGCAGCCAGCCTGCACTGGATCGCAAATTATTCCTCCCCATGACGCCTCATGCAGAAGTGGTTTATGATGCTGATGACAGTTGCATAGGTGCTGCTGTTTTCCTAAAGTGACAAATTTCTTTGAACTTTGTCAGACTAATAATGTTGTACCCCTCAAATATAGAAAAAAAAAGGTTGTTGCGTATCCTTTACAGAATGTTGCAGAACCAACCCTAACAGCCCCTGGCTGTTGTGTGGTTTCTCTATGCAAATTTACGTCCAGTAGTTTGCCATTGCTTTCTGGACGGTCAGCTTTCTTGATACCACTGTCGAAACCAACGCAAGGCGCATTGCCCGCAGCTGGGATCGAACCCGGTATCCCGGCATTACGAAGCAAAGTGTTCGCATCAACTTAGCCACAGAGCCGACCAAATATAGAATATATAGTAATTAACACAGACTGTTTATTTTGTGTGAGTCATAGATGCACCCAGCACAGTTTTTAAAAAAATATGTATAAATTATACACTTTGATTTTACCGGGCATATGTCTTTATGAAATAATGGTCACTTTTTTCTTGAAGGGACCCATTGAGCATAGTCAGCAGTGCACTTGCTTTCTAGAAGTGGTAAACAAAAAAATTAAATGCAGAATAAGTGAGGAAAAGAAAGGTTTTGGTTAAGATGCAGAAAATAAATCATGGAGTGAATACAACACAAAAATTAGTTATGTTCAGTTTGAAGACCAGGAAAGAGGATGATTGAGTTGCTCCTGAAAAAGACCTGTTTTGCAATTTCATGGAAACAGTCAGGCAGACAACTTTCTTTAGCAGCCGACTTCTTTTGAGAAATGACTTTTGTTCAGAATCAGATGAGTCTTAACAGATTGATAACTATTCTCAGCTGAATAGTCAACAAACCATCCTTTTTTTCCCGCTATTGATCTTCTTGCCATAAGAATGGTCCTTACATTAGGCTCAGTACTCTTTGTCTCTGAGTGGGCGACATTTGTAAGTGCTTTTGTGTTTAGTTAGGTGCGTATACTTTAAAGAACGTTAAAGAACCAACCGTAGCATTTTTTTTTTGCTGTTGTGGTTTTTCTCTGCAAATTTTACATTCAGTAGTTTGCTATTGCTTACTGAATGGCTAGCTCTCGGTACCACTGTCAAAATCAACGCAAGAGAGATCGTCAGCAGCTGGGATCGAACCCGGCCTAAGCCATAGGCACTGGCAAGTGCTTTAGCATCGCATAATTTGAAAGTTTTATTGTTGGCTCCTACTTGTCCTTTGACTTTTGCCCAGACTAGGTCTATTGAGTTTAAGTGTAAATGGTAAGATGGCGGCTATCTTCCGAAAAACGGTCCCAAATTATCGAGGCCGAAAATATATCCTAACAGGGCCTTCTGGTGACTTAAATTGCGCACTTCCGGTGACTACTGCCACCACCGAGAGTATCTCCTACGCCACTACGCATGGCGTGGATTGGGGCAAAACTAGATGGCTGGGACGAGCAGCAGCTACCGCATCTCCTGCAGCTTCCTTTATTTTATTTGCTCATGAGTCCCAGCCATCTAGTTTAGCCCCAATCATGCCGCGCGTAGCGGCGTGGGAGATACTCTCGGTGGTGGCGTATAGTCCCCGGAAGTCCACAATTCGGGGGTGGCAGTATGGTCCCCGGAAGTCCGCAATTGACACGTGACTGAGGCCCTGTTATGGTATATTTTCGGCCATGATAATTTGGGACCTTTTTTCTGAAGATAGCCAAGGTAGCAGTCTCAGACATCTATGACCTTGCTTTGACATATCTTTGACCATTGTGGTTGCTTTACAATTGATAGCAGTTCAGGTTTTAGGTACATGTCATTAGGGGTATGTGTTCCTTTGTGAGCCACGTCTTTATTGCGGAACTTGAACTTACAGATGTCAGGGCTTTATCCTCTTGTGCCACTGTGTTGTGTATGATGTCCATTATCAGACGGGTCTTTCTGGTGACTGAAGAAGTGTTTTCAATCCATTCTCAAAATAAGTTGCTGTTTATTTCTGTGTGATAGTCCTGATTGTCTGTAAACTTTGAAACGAGAAAAGGTTCAACATTATTCATTATCCCGTTATGTCTGTTACCTGCTTGTTTAACTAACAGGCGCTGCCATTTGCTGCTAGGCTGTGTTAGAAGACAGCAAGAACATAAAATTATCTTTGGAATGACCAAGAAGGTATGGCGAGTTGTTTAGGACAGAGAGTAACAATTATTTTTCTATATGTTTGCTTGCATTAGATGATGATGATGATCATCATGTAGCAGGTTCTTTGCAGAACGTTGCTCTCATCACGGTCTGCCTGAAAGAAACTCAGCCTCTCGCCAACTCTCCTATCTCATATACTTTCACACCTAGTGAGTCACTGGCATGATATTGAATACATCATCCTTATATATATTGTTAGGCTATATATGCCTAAAGTGTGCTTTAGTTTTCTTTACTTTTTGTGTTTACATTCTGTGTGCTTTCATTCTTTTATTTTTGTTTCTGCTAGGATCTGCAGAGAAAGCGCGAAGAAAAGAAAAGTGAAGTAAAGAAAATTGCTTTGGATGAAATTAAATATTTACAAGCAAGCGGAAAGGTAACCAAAATATCTGCAGCTAACAGCTATCTAGGCAAGAAAAAAAGACAGGTGGCAGCCAAAGAATCTCCTAAAGAAGCAACAAACCCTGAGGATTTACAAGATAATGCAGGATCTCAGGCATTGCCAGAAGATTTGAGTGCTTCACGTGTAAGTTCCTGGCATTGTGTAGATCTGATTATATTCTTCACTTTATTGTTCAGTAGTTGGTAGTTGAGGTTTTAACTTCACTATAAATGGGTCACACCATAATTGTTCCATTCCTGTGCCAGTGAAACTCGCATGAAATACCCCTTGCTGTTTTTTTAAAACCAATGAATGCAAAAAAGTTTTCTTGGCGAAATAAGTGAAACACACTATAGGGTAAAAGTCAACGAGTGCAGCATAAAAGTTATTACATTCTACAAGTATGGAGAAAATATTTGGAGATTATTTTCAATGAAAACGGTGGTCAAGGACCACCAGGCATTATCTGGATCTCCTGACGCAACATGATGGTGTATTACAAACACTATGATCCGAATGCAAATGTGCAATAACGTGATAAATGGTTTAGACTCGCCCAAATACTCCGAGCACTCGTCTTGAAACATTTGAATCCATATTCTATACAACTGCCTTTGGGTCAACAGTACGACCTTGAGAGTCTAAATGGTTACTTTAACCTTTTCATCTGCAGTCTGATACTTGAGAACAGGGCAATGTCCCTCCTTCTTGATCTGCCAGCTCTTCTGCTGAGTGATCCAGTAGCTTAAAATACTCCTGCTTCCTGCAGAATGCAATAATGTATCAGTTCTAGGCTGAGGGAATCCCGGGGTAGAACTTCCTCAAGGATCCACCAAGGCCTGACCACCTGTCTGCCTTCTTGAGCCTTTCGAATGCAAATCCTCCAGATTCCAATTCCCTAACAACATTACATAATATTTATGATGTCCTATTTGCTCAGTCAGTATTGGTGTGTTTTAGTGCACATCCGCACGTGACAATCAGAAACAAGTAGTAAATGCAGAATGTAGCCACTAGAGGTACCAACACTAACAGTCCCCACCAGAATTACACTTGTCATTGATGAAAGTTGTCATTCTCAGCAAGTTGGCCGTGCACATGCAGTATTAATTCATAAGAGTTCATATAATTCATATAGCTCACAAGAAAATGACAAGTTTTAGTGATAGTGGTGTAATGAAGCCTAAGCATATTACAGTAGAAAGGAAGAAGGAAATAATCACTAAATATGAAAAGGGTGTTAGTGTTTCTGATCTCACCAAGCAGTATGACATGGCTAAGTCTATGATCTGTACTATCTTAAAGAATAAAGTTGTGCTAAAGACAGCTGATGTGGCTAATGCAGTGACTAAGTTAATGAAGCAAAAGTCTTATGTGTTAAAAGACGTAGAAATATTATTGTTAACAACCGAGCCAGCAGTCGAACCACTTTCCAGATTACAGACAAGAGAAAGAATACCGGAAGTACGGAAACAGTTGCCTGACATTATTATGGAATGGAACTCACCTTTGAAGGAGTAGCCTTCCTCCTTCTCCTTTACTATCTGTCTATGCCAGCAACTGTCAACCAGAAAGGCAAAGTTCCTTTTCCTTTCCTATTTCCTTCTTCATTTCTACTGTAAAACGCCTAGGTTTCATTTTGAAATTAAGATAAAAACAATACTGTATATTATATACTATATATTTTTTGTCACACACAAGTTGAATGGATTAAGTTGATTTACATTAATTTCAGTGGGTACGATTGTTTCAGCTTGCGAACATTTCGGTTTACTAACAGTGTCAAAGTATAAATTAAGTTCATGAGACAGGGTACCACTTTAGTTAATTTTTCATATAATTGTTGTTACCTTATGTGCCAAATATAATGTTATGATTACCACTCATACTATTGCAGTTATTTCTTCTGCCATTTAATTACCATTCCATATGATTATTGTTTCTTTTTATTTTATCAGCAGCTCAGAAATGATGAAGCTTGTGGGGGTGGCCGAGGAAGTGACAAAGGTACAGAAGCAGACACCCGCACCACACTGGAGGATCTGTACACCACCCTAAAGAAGTTGGAGGAAGAAGAGAACTTTCTGTCAGTTCAAACAGAGAAGAAGTCTTGGTGTAAGTTTAAAGTGGTGGAAAAAATGATGGGTGACTGATTGAAACAGTTATGGGTAGTGTGATTGAAACACTGATGGATGGTTGTGGTTGAAACACTGATGGATGGTTGTGGTTGAAACACTGATGGATGGGTGTGGTTGAAATACTGATGGATGGTTGTGGTTGAAACACTGATGGATGGTTGTGGTTGAAACACTGATGGATGGTTGAGGTTGAAACACTGATGGATGGGTGTGATTGAAACACTGATGGATGGGTGTGGTTGAAACACTGATGGATGGGTGTGATTGAAACACTGATGGATGGGTGTGGTTGAAACACTGATGGATGGGTGTGGTTGAAACACTGATGGATGGGTGTGGTTGAAACACTGATGGATGGTTGTGGTTGAAACACTGATGGATGGGTGTGGTTGAAACACTGATGGATGGTTGTGGTTGAAACACTGATGGATGGTTGTGGTTGAAACACTGATGGATGGGTGTGATTGAAACACTGATGGATGGGTGTGGTTGAAACACTGATGGATGGTTGTGGTTAAAACACTGATGAATGGTTGTGGTTGAAATACTGATGGATGGGTGTGGTTGAAACACTGATGGATGGGTGTGGTTGAAACACTGATGGATGGGTGTGGTTGAAACACTGATGGATGGTTGTGGTTGAAACACTGATGGATGGGTGTGGTTGAAACACTGATGGATGGGTGTGGTTGAAACACTGATGGATGGTTGTGGTTGAAACACTGATGGATGGGTGTGGTTGAAACACTGATGGATGGGTGTGGTTGAAACACTGATGGATGGTTGTGGTTGAAACACTGATGGATGGTTGTGGTTAAAACACTGATGAATGGTTGTGGTTGAAATACTGATGGATGGGTGTGGTTGAATCACTGATGAATTGTCTGTGGCTAATGTGGGAAACATTGGTCAAAGTTAATACAGAATGTGAGGAAATAGCTTGAGAAAATCTGTCTAAACACTTGAAAATGTATACTGTTTTAAAATGAAGCAACATAATGTAAAGTGGAAGGAGGAACCCACCCCTACCCTTCCCAGACAAGTCATGACACAAAAGGTGATTAATTAGGGTCTTGTTGAAATTGTTGAACTGATAGGTGCAAATATCCCAATCTACCTTTAAACTGCAACACCATATGCAAGCCGCACTTTTGAGGGTAGGTGCAGAAGAAGAAGATGGATGATAAATGAAATTCAGATAAAAATAAGTAATCCTATTGAATTAAGCAGTACATGGCAAGACTACAGACATAAATGTGTGTGTGTTGTGTGTACATATGTGTATATTGTGTGTACATATGTGTGTGTGTACATATGTGTATGTTGTGTGTACATATGTGCGTGTTGTGTGTACACGTGCATGTGCAAAAAAATATTTTTCAGCAGTGATGTATAGTAGGCATAAGATGCTAGCTCCATATTAAACACGACCATCAATCAGTGTGTGATATTGTCTTTAACAAGAACTGGTCATCTCCACTCCTGAGAAACTTCCTGACATCCATTGTTATGCTAAATTAAACAGGGTTAACAAAAACTTTATAAACAGCAGTGTTAGGGAGTTATATACAGTACCTGTTCTCTGTTAATGCCAAATGTTGGACAATATATAGAAAACCTGATATCCCACATTGGACTAATGGCTTTAAGCAGAGAATTAGTACATTGTGGATGATACTAGCCTTATTCTAGGATGAGGAAAAGCAGTCTAAAAACTTAATGTTATGGCAGGGCAGAGCAGGCCGTTTGCCTTGGTTAGCAGTGGTCTAGGAAGGAAGCTCTGACAGGCAGACAGAGCATTGTTCTTCTAATCCAGCAGCTTCTGCAGCATGCTTTGTCAAAACATATTGATGTTACCTTTCCTTTGGAGTAAACAAGGCAGGCTGAGAGAAGGATGATGTTGCATGAACAACACATGGTATCTGCAATATACGACCCAGCTTTGTGCTATGGATAGGAGGAATGTTATCCCAGGTCCTAACTGGTATCGTCGTTGGCTATGATTTCAATGCTTCCCTGTAGCACAGTGGAATACTATAATCTAGAGAGATGGAAAAGTACCAGCAGACAAAGAGGGGAAGAGACGGAGCATTTTAGAGATTCACTACAGCCAGCCTTCCTTGTGGAGAGGGCCCATGATTGTTTGATTTAACTTACTTTAATTGATTTTACTTACATTATACCACTTACATTGATGTTAAATATCTGCTTTTTTTCCCCTTTGTCCTAGTGCTTATGTCATACAGCATGGGGGAGTTATATGTAGTATCCTGTTCTTTTGCTGGTAGCATAGCTTGTGTTAATGTTATATTGCATTTCTGAAGTGTCTCTTTTACTCCCTCTGCCCATCTATTTTTTTTTCATCGTCTTTTTGACTGGTAGCTTGCTGTTCTCGTGTCGCACACTCTAGCTGCTGATTTTGTTACATTCTGACCAGATGACCACACTATTTGATTATTTAATGTTCTTTGAATTTATTTACCTGTGCTATGCTTACAATTTTTTCTCAGTTCTTCAGTGGTGACTCTTGTCTCTTCTCCCCTCCCCCCCCCCCCTTTTCCCCCCACCTCATTTCTTATACATCTCATCTCACATGTTGTAATTTTGATGTTAAAGGTCAATATGTGCAATGTCTATTTTTGTTTACAGTGGATGATTTGGAGAAGGCGCAGGAAGAGGAGCTGGGTTCAAATTTGACAGCAGAGAATTTAGAAAAACTCAATTCCAGCAAAGATGGCCTGTCCAAAAGTGGGTTTCTGACAGATAACAAGCTCAGGAGTATTATTGATTTTCTGGATGAGGTGCAGGTTAATGACAGACTCAGTGGAATTGAAATGGTTAGTCCATTCTTTTTGTAATTGATGATCAATTGAAGAGTGAAGTTGTGTCTGTAATTTTCAGTGTGTTTTTTTTTGGTTGGTAATAGTTGCTATCATCTGTTGTAATGACGGCTGCTTTTTAACAAGGGGCTCTTGCATTTGTTTGCCTGTCGGCCTGGCAGACTTGGGATCTTCATCATTTTTCAGAGTGATGTTATTGCTTGTTTACAGCATCTTCATCATCAGGTGTTTTGCCAGTTGGCGTAGCTGTTTATGCATGTCCACAGATCTCAGTCTTTGGTGTTCTGGATCAATTCCACTGATGATATTCCTCCTGTTTACAGCATAGCTGCAGTTTTGCACCTTTTAGCTAATACGTCTGACTTTATCAGTTGTTTGTTCACCGGATTAACCCCTTCTCAGTTGGTTTCATGAGACAGTATTTAGCCTTACTTGTGTGGTGTCCTCTTTGTCAGAATAAAAGACGGGCCTGCGTGCACAGTTCTTCTTTTTCTTCTTTACGTCCTCTTTTACCGCTTCGGGTGTCGAGGGAGATAAAAGGTCCTACTTCATGCTCTTCTGGCTGCTTCAACCATAGACACATCATGTGCTGTAGAGTTTCTCTGATGTTATCTTCCCATCTTGTTCTTGGTCTACCTTAACTCTGAAAATAAAGTGTCTTTGTTCGCTCATTTGTTCGTTTGTTCATCTACAGGTGTTGCCCCTGGAGAACCCATCCAGGGCAACCACGTGTAGACTTGTCAGTTCTCAAGGGAAGGCAGGGGCAGATTTGTCCAAGAACTCTTCTATAAATACAGACCTGGCACATGATGCTCTGGTTCTAGGGTCACCCAAAGGATCATCACTCCTGCTTAAACTCACATGTGTATGTTCAGCTTCCCACTCATCATTGGCTGCACCCTTTGGAAAGGTCTTAGGTTTAAATCAAAGTTGACCTTAACTCCCTGTCCGACCCAGTCTAAAATGCGTACAAGTTAATGCCCTGAGTACACAGTTGGCATAATGCTGACCTAGAGTGGACAGTGGTGATCTTGGCTGTCCAGCCTTCTTTGTCATCTGAAGTTTGCTACATTTATTATTTGTTAATATTTAAGCTATGTAAGCTTTTTACATGATCTATCTTTCTCTTATTTGCCTTGTATTTTCCCCATTTAAGGCTAATTTCTCTCTGTGAAAGAGCCGCTTAATGAATTGGACTTCACTGAGGAAATTTATGTTGTCAGGGTACCCAAGTACTTAAACATTTTGACATACATCAGACTTGTCCTATTTACTTTATAATTGCATTAAGTGGCTTTTTTTTTTTTTTAAATTACCAACCTTTAATGTTTCTAACAGGAAATAAGTCGTGTCAATGACGAGCTTGAAAAACCTGCCTTGCTGGTACCATCGGCTGAAGAAGTGGCCCATTTGGAACAAGCTCAGGCCACAGCCAGTGAAGTCACCAACACTTTGCTAACTCAACGCTTGGAGCTGGATGAGAAGAAGAGAACAGTAACCATGCTGCAGAAAGCATTGGTTAGTGACTCATTTTTTAAATTTTTTATTTTTGTATCTGTCTAGTCCGAGAAGGCTAACTCTGTAAATAAGTGCCTGATGAAGTGGGATGTGTCGTTTAAAAGGTGCAGTTAGGCACAGTGTAGTTGTCATTAACAAGTAATTAAAGGACACTTCTTCGTTAACAAGTAATTAAAGAATACTTTTTCATCCATTATCATGTAATTAAAGAATACTTTTTCATCCATTATCATGTAATTAAAGAATACTTTTTCATCCATTATTATGTAATTAAAGAATACTTTTTCATCCATTATCATGTAATTAAAGAATACTTTTTCATCCATTATCATGTAATTAAAGAATACTTTTTCATCCATTATCATGTAATTAAAGAATACTTTTTCATCCATTATCATGTAATTAAAGAATACTTTTTCATCCATTATCATGTAATTAAAGAATACTTTTTCATCCATTATCATGTAATTAAAGAATACTTTTTCATCCATTATCATGTAATTAAAGAATACTTTTTCATCCATTATCATGTAATTAAAGAATACTTTTTCATCCATTATCATGTAATTAAAGAATACTTTTTCATCCATTATCATGTAATTAAAGAATACTTTTTCATCCATTATCATGTAATTAAAGAATACTTTTTCATCCATTATCATGTAATTAAAGAATACTTTTTCATCCATTATTATGTAATTAAAGAATACTTTTTCATCCATTATCATGTAATTAAAGAATACTTTTTCATCCATTATCATGTAATTAAAGAATACTTTTTCATCCATTATCATGTAATTAAAGAATACTTTTTCATCCATTATCAAGTAATTAAAGAATACTTTTTCATCCATTATCATGTAATTAAAGAATACTTTTTCATCCATTATCATGTAATTAAAGAATACTTTTTCATCCATTATCATGTAATTAAAGAATACTTTTTCATCCATTATCAAGTAATTAAAGAATACTTTTTCATCCATTATCATGTAATTAAAGAATACTTTTTCATCCATTATCATGTAATTAAAGAATACTTTTTCATCCATTATTATGTAATTAAAGAATACTTTTTCATCCATTATCAAGTAATTAAAGAATACTTTTTCATCCATTATCATGTAATTAAAGAATACTTTTTCATCCATTATCATGTAATTAAAGAATACTTTTTCATCCATTATCATGTAATTAAAGAATACTTTTTCATCCATTATCATGTAATTAAAGAATAGTTTTTCATCCATTATCATGTAATTAAAGAATACTTTTTCATCCATTATCATGTAATTAAAGAATACTTTTTCATCCATTATCATGTAATTAAAGAATACTTTTTCATCCATTATCATGTAATTAAAGAATACTTTTTCATCCATTATCATGTAATTAAAGAATACTTTTTCATCCATTATCATGTAATTAAAGAATACTTTTTCATCCATTATCATGTAATTAAAGAATACTTTTTCATCCATTATCATGTAATTAAAGAATACTTTTTCATCCATTATCATGTAATTAAAGGACACTTTTTCATCCATTATCATGTAATTAAAGGACACTTTTTCATCCATTATCTTGTAATTAAAGAATACTTTTTCATCCATTATCTTGTAATTAAAGAATACTTTTTCATCCATTATCATGTAATTAAAGAATACTTTTTCATCCATTATCATGTAATTAAAGAATACTTTTTCATCCATTATCATGTAATTAAAGAATACTTTTTCATCCATTATCATGTAATTAAAGGACACTTTTCACTCATTGAGTAATTAAAGGACCTTGTTTCAAGCCATGGATGTATTAGACATATGGTGCTAGACCCATGTTTCTATATTTCAGAGAGCTTTCAGTTGGTGGTGGGCTCAACGTCATACCAGCCTCCTCTGCTTCCTAAGAATTTCCTTGTGCTTATTTTCCTAATGGTTTGCCTGGGAGATCTCAGTCGGTTATAAAAATAAATTTTTATGCTGAATTGAGCCCAAGACCTTCATGTTAGCTAGCAGCAGTCTTCCCGCTGTGCTGCCAGGCTCCAAGAGCCTTTTAGCAGCCATTGAATAGTAGCCAGTCATTAGTAAGTCTACAGTGGTCTTAGTGCACAAGAAAAATAAGAATGTGGCATATAGCAGAAAAACTAAATACTTGAAGGAAGAATGAATAACGAACGAATGAACAAACTTAATTTTTAAAGGGTTAAGAATTGGGCTTGCAGGCCTTTCTAACATTCTGCCCTTCAAGGTCTCCTTCTGTTCTTACATCATTTCATTCATACATCAAGTAATATTAAAAATTAGCAATGGCATCAAAATAATCAATACAAGCATTGGAATGTGCACATTTATAACTACAGTAAACCGTAGTAGGGAAAATTTGCGCTATTTCTAATATGTGTTTTATCTTCTATGGAGGCATATAATCTGTGCTCAGATAATATTCGAACAGTTTCCAATTGTATGTATAGGGACTAGTAGTACTTTTGATTTGCTGTGGCAGATAGTTCCACAGTTGAGCTGCGGAATACGCCAAACTTGTTTTGTAAAGGTCTATCCAAGGTTTAGGGATGTGTAGTATGTTTAGGCGCTTACTATGCCTTCCATTATATTTAAACAACGGCCATAAGTAACATGAAGCCTTTTGAGATAAAATTTTATGAATAAATTTCACCGTATTGAAAAGTAGACGTTCATGAAGCGGTAGTAGTCTAAGACCTTTATATATTTCGTAGCTCACTGTCCCATGATTGTTACTAATTAAGCTAATAGAGCGCTTTTGCAGTGATGTGAGCCGCTTGAAAACAGAGCTGGAACAGCCATCCCATATTGTAGAGCACAGGTCTATATATGTCTGGATGTGAGAAATATAGAATATCTTTCTTGTGTGTTCATCAAAAAAGTTTTTTAATTTTTGCAAGCTGGTAAACCTTTTTAGCTGTTTGTTTCACAAGTGCGTGTACATGAGAGTTTAAGGTTAGATTTGCATCAATTACCAACCCGAGTGCCTTTTGCTCAGTTACATTTTCCACTTGAGTCCCCCTAGTGTAAAGCTGAAGCGTTCTCTGAGAAATTTAAACTGTATAGTTTTTGTCTGGTCATTATTAGTATAGATTTGGTTTTATTAATGTTTATTTGCATACGGTTTGCACTGCTCCATTGGACTACATTATTTAATTCTTGTTGTAATGATGACTCTAGTAAATTATATGTTTGAGCATTTGCATAGATGGTACAGTCGTCTGCGAATAAATCGCAGGAGGACGACAAACATAAAGGAAGATAATTTATGTAGATATTGAATAACAAAGGGCCGAGAATCGAGCCTTGAGGTACCCCAGTATTTAAGGCAGTGGTCCGCTATAATGATTTATTTTGACAGATTATTTGTTTTCTATTTAACAAAAAATTATTTTATTATTTTTAATAGCCTATGGTTAAATTTCATTGTTTCTAATTTTCTTATAAGAATGTCATGGTCTATTATGTCAAAAGCTTTCTTAAAGTCTATAAACACCCTGCCACATATTTTCTCATCATTAACATTCTGGTGCCAGTTTTCAATCATATTAGCTAGAGCAGTATAGCAAGAATAGTTTGGTCGAAAACCTGATTGGTTATCCACTATAAGTTTGTTGTGATCTAAGTGTTGAAAAGTTACATTATGAATAAGTTTTTCTAGTGGTTTCGATAGTGATGATAACAGAGAGATCGGTCTATAGTTACCTGGAATACTACTGTCTAAAGAACCAGATTTTATGTGTGGATACACTTTGGCAATCTTAAATGCTGATGGGAAGTAGCCTTTGACAAGACACTGGTTGTAAATAAAGGTAATTGACTCAGTGAATTAAGAATATTATTTTTAGCGAAAGAGAGAATAAATCATTTTGTGAGTTTGAAATGGTAGGAAATTGGATGCGGAATAGAGGTAGACCTGTATACAAAAATATATTTAGATATTTAGTGTTCGTCAGCGCATGACAAGAACAGCTATTTTACAGTTGCTAACAAGAATACACAAAAATCACTTAATTGAGTTATCTCCAAGTCAAATGCATATATGGCCAGTTGAGGCTCTGAGACATATATGAATGCAGGAAATGAATACTAGCCAGAAAAAAGAGAACAAAAATGTGCGTCAGCCAAGAGCCATAAAGGAGCAGTGGGTCTGTCCACAAGTTGGGGCTTCTCTCCTCGACCACCTGCTAACCAAGACTAAGGTTTTGGTCTGCCCTGCCATAACATTGTTTGTTTCCTGGTAAAATTTCCTCTTCCTAGGATACATCAAATATTGATGAGCAAAATGTTTGAATCCACTTGCCTCTTCAACCACTAACTTTACAGTCAGCACAGTCTTCACTAATGTCACCTTTCTCATTTCATGACTAGCAATTTCTTTCTTATAGTTATGTTCTCCATTACTGTCTCTTTCTTATAGCTGCGTAATGCTCTTCATTACCATTTCTTTCTTACAGTTATGTTCTCCATTATTGTTTCATTCTAAAAGCTGTGTTATGTTCTACATTACCATTTCTTTCTTATAGTTATTTTCTCCAATACTGTTTCTTTCTTATAGCTGTGTAATGTTCTACATTACTATTTATTTCTTATATTATGTTCTTCATTACTGTTTCTTTTTTTAAATTTTATGGCATAGGTGTATTATGTTCTAAATTACCATTTCTTTTTTATAGCTATGTGTTCTACACTATAATTTCTCTCTTATTGCCATGTGTCATGTTCTACATTTTCATTTCTTTCTTATTGCTGTTTGTTCTACATTACAATTTCTTTCTTATGGATGGCTGTGTGTTCTACCTTACCATTTCTTTTTTATAGCTGTGTATTCTACATTACCATTTCTTTCTTATAGATGTGTGTTATGCATTGCCATTTCTTTTTTTTATAGCCATGTCTTATGACCTAATTACCATTTCTTTCTTTTAGCTGTGTGTTCTACATTGCCATTTGTTTCTTATAGCTGTGTGTCCTACATTACCTTTTCTTTATTTTAACTGTGTGTTATACATTACCATTTCTTTCTTATAGCTATATGTCATGGTCTGTATTATCAGGGTTTTCTTTAAAAAGCTATGTTTTCTGCATTACCATTTCTTTCTTATAGCTGTGTGTCATGACCTACATTACTGTTTCTGTCTTATAGCTGTGTGATTTACATTACCATTTGTTTATCATAACTGTGTGTTATACATTAACATTTCTTTCTTATAGCTGTGTGTCATGACCTACATTACTGTTTCTTATAGCTGTGTGTATTGTTCTACATTTTGCAGCTCATATAGAACATGCTTTATTCAACAGAATCAACAAAGGGAGCTGACTGTCAGGCATGCGAGAGAAACTGAGAAGGAAATGAAAAAGAGACTGGATGTGCAGAAGGAGGAATATGAGGAAGCTATTAAAAGGCATTTATCCTTTATTGATCAGGTAAATATCAATGTATTTCTTAGTTGCATTCACTGGGAAATTAATTTTTGTATGATTTTTTTATCCGAACCAGCTATAATTTTTGTCGTCATAATTAGCCCTGGTTTGCATTGTCATTTGATGTTTATTAATTAATTTTGTAGAACCATTAATCTGAAATTTTAAATATTATTTTTAATGTTATAGTTCAGTTGATCAATCAGTTTGTTCTTCTGGGGCTGGAATCTTACCATATCATCCTGAGATTTAAAATGGTAAGCTAGATGATAAACCTGTAAGGCAGATCCCAGATACCCTGTTCAGCTTCCAAGGAAGTTATTATTAAGGCATTTGTAATGGTTACTCCAGTAGGATGTAAACTTCAGTCCTATGCTAGGTTAGGGCATAAGGTTATGGTTATAATAGATGCTATTTATAGTAAACTGAGAAAGATTTATAAACAAAAGTGTGCCATTAGGGAATTGAATATGTGGTGCTAGATCCATGTTTTTTTAAACCTGTTGGCACCTGAAGATTCCTTTACTTCTCCAGACATTCCCAGGTGTCCGTTTCAGTCCTGTCAGTTGTACAGACCCACCTTGATGTGGATGTGAACCCAAGACTTTTAGGCTGGCAGGCAGGCAGCTAACAGTTGCTCTGCCTAGGCTTCCTTAATAGTTAATAAACCCAAAAGGAATTTGAATAAATCAATTAATTAAGAATTGACATCACTGCACTGGGGACATCCCCACACTCGCTGTGTCTCCTTCCTCAGTGGCCAGCAAAGAGTTGATATGCTACCTCAGTTACCAACAAAGAGTTGATGTGTTACCTCAGTGGCCAACAAAGAGTTGATATGTTACCCTAGTTGCAACCAAGAGTTGATATCCCTCAGTTGCCATAAAGAGAATTGTTCCCTCAGTTGCAACCAAGAGTTGATATGTTACCCTAGTTGCAACCAAGAGTTGATATCCCTCAGTTGCCATAAAGAGAATTGTTCCCTCAGTTGCCAACCAAGAGTTGATATGTTACCTCAATTGCCAACAAAGAGTTGATATGTTACCTCAGTTGCCAACAAAGAGTTGATATGTTACCTCAGTTGCCAACAAAGAGTTGATATGTTACCTCAGTTGCCAACAAAGAGATAATATATTACTTCAGTTGCCAACAAAGAGTTGTTATGTTACTTCAGTTGCTAAAAAAGAGTTGATATATCTCAGTTGCCAACAAAAAGTTGATAAGTACCTCAGTTGCCAACAAAGAGTTCATAGGTACCTCAGTTGCCAACAAAGAGTTGACTTGTTACTTCAGTTGCCAACAAAGAGTTGATATGTTACTTCAGTGGCCAACAAAAATTTGATATCTCTCAATTGCCAACAAAGAGTTGATATGCTACCTCAGTTGCCAACAAAGAGTTGATATGCTACCTCAATTGCCAACAAAGAGTTGATATTTTACCTCAGGTGCCAACAAAGAGTTGATATGTTACTTCAGTTGCCAAGAAAGAGTTGATATGTTATCTCAGTTGTCAACAAAGAGTTCATATCCTAATAGTACCAGCTGCAGTCTGATTAGAATCCACCCATGTTTCCCTCTCGCTGTTGATTGTCTTCCAGTCTGTCAGTGTATGGATGCTTTTTTCACAGATCTTGATCTTTGTATTTGGATTTCATTCCACTGATGAAATTCCCCCATGCCATTGCTTCAAGCCATCAAGCATCGACTGTTTTCATTGGCCTCTGCTTCTTTTACTGTGGATTTTTCCAGTCATCACAGTGTTCTCCAGTGCCTGTCTTCTCATCACATGACTGAAGAACACTGACAGCCTCTTTTTTATTGTTGTATAAATGAAAATTTTATTTCAAAAATTATCCAATGACAACATCGCACCCCAGTTAATGGAACAATTTTTACTTATAAGCCTTTACATCACGTTTTATTACATCACCTATTTATTATTAAATTACCAAAATCTAGCACGTGTGTATTTTTTCAATGCCTTAGAAAGGTTCAAGCTAGAGATACAATTAATTGCCCTACAGATTTAAAGGTAAATTGTTTTGTTTTTTTCTGGAAATAAACAGTAGGTCTGCCATTACCTATCACTCATTTAAACACTAGTTTCTGTTATCGTCTTATGCACACACAAAAAAATGTGCATGAGCATCAACAAACAAACATCTTTAACAGACATTCTTCAAGGATTACTTTTGCACCCTATTATTTAAAGCTGAGAGTAATTGTACTGTGTGATGAAACAATGTTATCAAAATGACTGGTTTAAAATGCAAGAGAAGGCAAATACTATATAGATGCTTCTTCTCTGTAAGATAAGGAACATCGGCGTACAGACAGTTTGTCTCTCAAAGACACAGAAGGAGATGACAGATTATTTGAAATTAACATAGGCTTATAGTATTACTGTACATTTCTATACATTACTGCTCTTATGCTGAAGTTTATATTGGTCATTTTGTAAAATTAAATATAATAAGTTTGTTTTATTCAGCTTTTAAAGAATTTTTAGTTATTTTCATTCTAAGCCTGCCATGAAATCATGTTACTGTACACATGTAATAATATTTTTTCCTGCTATTCATCTATTCGGTTATCCATCACAGCCCTGGTCCAAACAATGGTCGGTTAAAAAACTGTACATGAAAAAAATTGCCAGGTTGACCTAAGAATTTTTTTTTTTTTCAGACAGTAAATATTTATTTGCTCCTTTATGAATGTGTGAGGGATCTTGTTATGTTGCTTTTCATTTCAGCTAATTGATGACAAGAAAAATTTGAGTGAGAAGTGTGAGAAGTTGGTCACTGAATTAAAGACGATTGACAAGAAGTACCAAGAGAAAATAAAGTCCCTTGAAGATAGGTACTGTTCACAGTTTGCAGTTTTTGTTGTTGTGTGAATTGGTCTTTCTTTGTTGTTTTTCTCCTACTGTGGGAGATGAAATCAAGGGTTCCCAAAGTGGCTCATATTGTAGTAGACTTAACAGTGATGTATATAGGAGTTCCCAGAATTGGTGATGTTGCAGTGGACATACCCCTTTCGTTTATTTTTAAAGAAACGAATCATTTTAATTTACTGAAACTCTACCCCTGAAAAACTAGAAGGTGTAAGGAGGAGATGAAATTTTGACTCTTCGTCAGTTTTTATAAATCTTTATGGGCTTGAACCCCTAGACCAAAGAAAAGACATGCCTATCTTCTCATCATATTCTTTTTGTGCATCCGACCTCATTGGGCGGTCAGCATATTGTTTTGATGTTTACAGCTAGGCTGCAGTGTCTGCACCTTTTGACCCAACACATTTAATGTTAAGAAGTCCTTAATTGAAGTTTTCATATTATACTAATAAAATTAAATACTAATTAAGGATTTCCTAAAATTGGATGAATTGGGCTGAAAAGCACAGATCTCATAGCCTAGATGTAAACCACAGTATGTGTGTACGGCAATGTTGAAGAATAAACATGTCAGACCTATTTTTGACCTATATTAATGTTATAATGGCAGGGATCTTGGAATGTAAATGAACAATGAGTCTGAGACAAAGTTACATGCAAAGTTACTAACAAAAGTTGCTAGAAGAGCTAGAACATTATAAACGGCTTTTAAAAAAGAGAGTGTTCAGTCTAAACTTTAATTAAAAGTTTGGTACTCCTGTCAAATCCGGACGAAGAATAAAAAGCCTTGGACGACTTAGTCAGAGTTCTCTCCCTTGGGCGCACTGCGAACAGTGATCGGAAAAGCCACAACGAAACAAACGACACAAGCAACATGGCAGTTAGACGCACTCACATAACTAACATCGTTATTCCAACGCACGACTTAGTTGCCACGGACGTAACTCCTGCAGACCTGTATGCCATAATGACAGATAAGTATGCGTGGTTGCGGTGGCTAGCTGAGCATAGTCTGATAAGAAACACGCAACCGTGTTCCTCGTGCACGCGGCCAATGTTCCTATGTCCCCGTCACATACACACACAAACAATTGAGGGCCTCTGGATGCTGGTGAAACGCACCATTTGCCAACGATTGGGCACCAGCCGCACACTATTGGCGTCATATTTAGCAGAATTACAGTGGCGCCACGCCCACAAACATCAGATTGTCGGCCACTATTTCCAAACCCTACGTCAAAATTTTAACATCTAACCCTAACCCTAACCCTAACCCGACCCATAACCCTAACCCTAACCCTAACCCTACCCCTAACCCTAACCCGACCCCTAACCCTAACCCGACCCCTAACCCTAGCCCTACCCCTAACCCTAACCCTACCCCTAACCCTACCCCTAACCCTAACCCTAACCCTAACCCTACCCCTAACCCTAACCCTACCCCTAACCCTAACCCTACCCCTAACCCTAACCCTACCCCTAACTCTAACCCAACAACCACATCATGATGACTACACAACCATTCACAATGCCTCACGAAACCGTACGCAGCCCTACAGGCAACCGCAGGATGATAGGTAAGTGTGTCGTTTATTTCGTTTGTTTTCCTATTACTGTTCGGAGTGCGGCCAAGGGAGAGAACTCTGACTAACTCGTCCACGGCTGTTTATTCTTCGTCCGGATTTGACAGGAGAGCCAAAAGTTTAGTAGCACTAAAAAAAGAAAACAAATTCTTTCAAAACAACAATTTTACACCGATCACTTAACATTAAAAAAAATTTATTTATGTACATTTAAAAAAAATGTCTGTGTGGAATATATCAATATTTATAAAGGGAGTTATCAGTAAATGTGAACAGTGGGAAGCATTGTATGAAATAAATTCTCCTGGGGGCTAAAAAATGTGTGTATCAGATGACTTATCCTGTAACTCTGACCTCTATGACGGAGGCTTATGGAAAAATTTGAGATTAGTTTGGCTTTTTAAAAAACCCATTTATTCTGAATGACCCCCTTCCCCCTAGCCACGCCACACCCAAAGCTATTTTTAGTTGATGTTTGTGCAGGCATAAACATAGTTATAACTATGTGTCACGTAAACAGGTCACTAAAGATGTTGGAGAAGTGATATTTATGGGGAAGTATCCCCAACCAGAAGTGTCAGTTTTGCGGCTTCTCAGGGCGACAAGAATAAAAGGGCAGGTTAAGGGCCTCCCCCCCCCCCCCCCTCCCCACACATAGGGCACCCAAACCCACACAGCAACCATATCATTTCAGTACTTTCTTTCTATTCAAATATACATACTTTTGTCTTGATAATATGTAAAATAATATGTCTATTGTTACTTTTTCAGTCATGTTATAGAAATGACAAAACTGAAAGAGATACATTCTGCTGCAGAAAAGCTGCGGAGAGAGAAATGGATTGAAGATAAAACAAAGAAGATAAAAGTGAGATTTGTATTTGAACTTTTGATATAGAAAATCAGTAGCTTTTTCTCCCCCAACACTTCAAACAGATACCTGACATTCTTTTACCACACAATTATGTAGATGACTTTCTATCCAGAAAATATTATTTTGTCTTTAGTTTCTGAATGTTATGCCTGTCTAGAAAATGTATCTTTATCTTTAACTTCTGTAGAACATTTTCTGTCTAGAAAATAAGTCTTTGTCTTTTATCTTCTGCTGTTTCCTTGTCTTCAGCTTCCAGATGACTTAGAATCTTTGAAATCTTAAAAGTTTGGTTGAAAAACTATTAAACGCTGCATATATCTCTTGGAAGTTGTTGGTAACTGTGAAATGTTGGGAAGAAATAATAAAAAGGTTTATTGAAAACTATCAAGTTTTAATGAACTATTCAAGACTTTGTATGATTTCAGTGTCTGCAGGCAACTATTAAAGTTTGTATTAAAATATTAATTTTAACAGGGAAACATAAACATTTGTAAATTATCAGAAGTTCCAAGGAACTATTCCGGATTGTTGTAAAATATCAGTATGTATGGAGGACTAGTGAATATACCTGTATTGTTGTCAAATATTAAAATATGCAGAAAATTATTAAATATTGTGGTAAAATAAAAAATATGCAAGGAACTATTAAGTAATGTTTTAAAATATATAATATATATTATGCAGTGAGCTGTAAAATATTTTAGGAAAATTATTAAAATATGATGTAAAGTAAAGTAAAAGACCCAGCTCTTGCCACACCTTCACGCATATTAGATATATAGGGCTAGACCTATATTTTCATAGACCAATCGGCACTCTCAGAACATGTAGAGAATTTTTTTATATTTTTAAAAAATATTATAGTGTTGCAGAGAACTTTTTAAGACTGTTGGGAAAAATTACTTCCTCAATTTATTTTACCAGGAGATGACAGTTAAGGGTTTAGAACCTGAAATTCAGCGTCTGATAGCAAAACATAAAAGTGATATAAATAAACTCAAGCACATCCATGAAGCGGAGCTACTGGAAGCAGATGAGAGAGTTGCACAGAAGTATGTGAAAATGACTGAAGAGCTAAGAGACCAACTGGCAGCAGAAAAAGAAGCCGCTTGTGCCAGAGAAAGAGAAATGTCTAAGCAGCGGTAAGTACATTTTATTTTATTTTAAAATGTAATTTCTTTTTTTTATCTTTATGACAGTCTCATAGTTTTACTTGAAATTTATTGATTTAATTATAACTTTGTATTTTGAGGTCTGAAATTACATACCTTGAATTAGTTGTTATTGCAACTGATTACTTTAGCATACAAAATTGTACTATTAATAAGCATCACAATTTGGTTTTAGAAAAAGCAGAGGATGCACAGATGCATTATTCACTCTGAGGCTAGTGTGTGAGAAAGCCATTGAGTATAATACCCAACAGAATATTATGTTTGTAGATCAGGAAAAGGCTTTCATTAGAGTGGATAGAAACAAACTGGTCTGTTCTTGAGGGGTACAAGGGCAGTTACTAGAGAAAATCATAGCCATGTACCTTACAAGCCAAACTGCAATAAGAACACAAAATGGCATATCAGATATGTTCACAGTCAACACAGGTGTGAGACAGGGATGTGTGCTCTCCACACTTTTATTTAACATTTATATAGACAGAATATCTAAAGAAACAAGTTCTGATACAGACAACACAGATCTTTATAATCATGAGGAAGTACTCACTTCAGGAGAAGTTATCGATTCACCCACAATAAATTAACTAATATTTGCTGACGACCAGTGCTTGTTCTGCCCTGTAGAAGATAGACTGCAAGACCACATTAACAGGTTAAACTCAGCATGCAGTAAATACAACATGAAGATCAATGCAAACAAAACCGAAACAATGCAGGTTAATAGAACCCCTGGCCCACTACACATACAGCTGAATGGTTCTGCTCTGAATCAAGTTAGGGAGTTTAAATATTTTGGAAGTATGATCACAGAAAATGGTAGAATTGACGGAGAAATAGAAACCAGATGTCAGAAAGCAAGTGCACTTATATACCAGTTGTCACCATTATTAAAACATTCAAGCATAGCTATGAGTGCAGAGAGACAGATTATTAACAGCATAGTCATTCCAACATTAAGCAACCAGTGCCAAACATGGACACTATCTAAAGCCTATATATGAAAAATCACCACCTGCGAGGTGAGATGCCTGAGAAAAGCAGCCAACCTAACCATTACTAGTTAATAATGAAACTATAAGGCAAATTGTGGGAATGACACCTTGTACTAGATTCATTGAGAAATAGCAGATCAAGTGGTTTGGCCATCTCATTATAATGCAGCAAGAACAAATACCATCACACACACTACATCTCAGAAGATCATCTACAAATACTTGGATGGACTAATTCATTACTAAGTTACAACCACCATCCAAAACAAGATTAATTCAGTACTACTTTACAACCAACATCTAGGACTGGAATTTTCCAGTACCAAGTTAAACATTCAAGACTGGAAGTTTCCAGTACCAAGTTACAACATTCAAGAAAGTTCTGGTTGTTCATTTACTTTTAGACTGCATTCCTGTTCCAGAACCTGAATGTTGCGTGCATCCGTTTTACAGATCTGACTCATTTGTATGCAAACTGCTGGTTCCTTGCCTCTCATGCAGATGCACTTTTACTTCGAAGGAAGCTCCCAATTAGCTGACTCTTACGACATGCTTTTGGTTAGCCAGTGGGTGTTTTTTTTGTTTTCCTAGAATAGGGCCCCGGAACCCACACAGGGATATACTACAAAATAATATCCAAGACCAAAATAATCCAATACCAAAATAGGACTAATCCAACACCAAGTTATAACCATCATCCAAAATAGGACTAACCCAAAACCGAGTTAAACAATCATCCAAGATTGGACTAATCCAGTACCATATTACAACCATCATCCAAGCTAGGACTAACCCAAAACCGAGTTACAACAATCATCCAGGATTGGACTAATCCAGTACCAAGTTACAGCCAACATCCAGGATTGGACTACAAGATTGGACTGATCCAGTACCAAGCTACAACCAACATCAATAATTGGACTAGTCCAGTACTAAGTTGCAACGTCCAATGTTCTACTAATCCAGTACTATATTACATTAAAAAACCAAAGTACTAAAATGTGTATACATTGTTTTTAAAGTGTGGTGTCAGGTAAAGGAAAATAGTATACGGTTGTCAGCATTTTACTGTTTTTAATTGCTTATGTTTTATTTAAAGCTTAATTTTTTTTTTTTTTCTTAAAATAATTGTTTAAAACTCTAAAATAATTTTTTACATGAATATTCAGTGAATTTGATAACAGTGAATTTTATGCAAACAGTAATATGTACATATTTTGTTCTGTCACAAAAAACAAGATATGAAAAACAGCTTCAGCAAGAAGAAGAAGCGTACCAACAGCAGCGAAGACGGTTGCACCAAGAAGTCCAGGAAGAGAAAGATCGGGTGGCAGCTTCAGTGTCAAGACAGCGGGCAGAGTTGGAGAAGCTACAGCGCCAGCTGGAGGATAATCATAGGATAGCATTAGAGTCAATGAGGGAAGACTTTAACAAGGCTAGAGAAGAGCAGGAGAGGAGACATGCGGTAGGGTTATTTTCGGTTGAGATTTGTTTGTGTTCATCACAGGATCTTCTTGCATATTGGGTGTGTCCATAAGTGATCTGATAGTCCGAAAGGTTTTGAGTCAGGAGGATTGACTTCATTGCACCAGGTTTTATTTCATTACTCAGTCTCTCCCTTCAGAATGGCAAGCTGTGCTGAGAGCATTGCACAAAGCACAAACTCTGTAGCTTGATTGATGATCCCCAGATATCTCCATAAATTGCACATGTAAACCTGTGAGGCAGTTCACATAATTTACCCAAGACCTTTAGAGAGTGAGGCAAACAGCGTAATCTCTTCTCCTGATCATGTTTCTTAGTGTGTGTGCCCTGATGAATCCTGCTCTGTATTGGTTGATGTTAACTCTTAGAGGATCAACTTCATTGCACTGAGTTTTATCTCATATGGCTCGGTCTCCCTCTGCAGAATGACTGGCTGTCTGCCAAGAATGTCACATAAAGCATGAACACTGTACCTCTGGCAATGATCCCCAGGGGTTTCTGTAAAAACTGCAGTCATGAACCGAAAGACACAGCTATGCACACAAACCAACGACCTTGAGAGGACTAGGTAAATGGTTTGACCAATTCACCACAGAGGCTCACAGACTGATTGATGTAGCAGCTGGGAGGTCTTGCATAGTTTATGCATCACACAGTTCCGATGGGTAAAGCCAGACTCTGCATCCATATCACTGAAAAATTTGTATTCTTGTGTTTGAGGTCTTCAGCACATGGTGTCTCCAATAAAGCATTATTAGTATATTAAATTATTTTGTTTACTGATCACTGATTTAGATAGGTAGGTAGGTAGTTGTTTCCCCACCAGGACATCACACAAGCGACAAACACCTGGTGACTTAAAGTGCCACCATGCGGATGAGGATCACCCGTTGAGAGGTCCCAGAAACCCCTTTCAGCCGTTAGGTCATATCTATGGCTAGGGCCCCTGGCAGAAGCCAGGGTTGGGCTTCACCTACCTACCTACCTTTTATCACTGATTTAAGAATTATCAGAATCATAGCACACTGGGCATTCCCATAGATGCAGCAAATGTCTAAAGATGTAGATGCTAATGTTTCACATAGCACACATCATTATTATTTTGTTTAAATATTTCATAATGTTTTGATTTAGCACACACTTCTTCTTCTACCTTTCATTTTCCAACTCAAACCAAACCCGTTTATCTATCCTTTGACTTTTATGATTGGTTGGATTTTGTAGCTGTATTGTTCCATTAGAGGAAATAGTCTCAAGCCAATCTTCCTTAGCTGCCTATTATGACATGCAGTGTTGATTACAGTTCTTCCTTTATAGACCCCCTGTGGAAAGTTCCATTTGTTCGTCCACTTTAAGACTTTAGTCTTGTTCCAGAACTTTGATTTTACATGCACATTCGTTTTACAGGTCTGTCTTATTTATATGCATAACATTGGTTCCTTGCCTCTCAACCAGGTGCGCTCCGACTTCGGAGGATATGAAGGTTTCATTTTCAGGCCTTGAAGAATTCTGGGTATATGGTGCTGGCTCTGTGTTATCTAAGATGAATTGGCCGTGCTGGGTTATAGGATCAGTAACAGACTGTAATGAGGCGTGGTTTGACTTGAACTGTACCTGGCTCACTACATATTGGCTTTCGCCACGGCTCACTCTCTGGATGTTTACTGCTGCAAAACTTGTACTGCTTTAACGTCTAGGGTTGACAACACAAACGCCACTCAGCTTCTTTGTACATGCTGTCAGTTTATTCAGGTCCATTTATTCAACATGCTTAAACAATTATTCTCAATTCTATCACTCGCGACATATTCGAACACTTAACCATTCGCGCGACATAAAGCTGACATCTTCAACCAAATGCAACCGTCTTCCTCGACTTCTGTTGATCCACTGACCACGAGTCTAGCTCAGGCTGCCCCTCGCTTACTCGACTAGGCACAAGTATCTCATGCTGTCCCTTGTTGCACGGACTTTCTGCTTGCCACTATGTAATCGTGGAGACCATGCAAAGCACCTCATCACACAGACCAGCTGACTTCTCATTGCTATGCACCTGGCGAGATGCCACAAAATATGCCAGGCAATTCACTGTGCATTATATTGTTTGCATCTTTATTGTTCAAAATATTGATGCTCTGGAAGAACTCAAAATTAAAAGATCACAGCTGAAGGAAATAAAATAAAAAAAATAAAGGAAATTTACTTTAGTCACATAAAACATATTGACTGTAATAGAGAGAAAACGTGAAGGGCTAATGAGCTAAAGCAGTGATTCCAATTTTGTGTGTGTGTTTTGGCAGGGGACCGCCCTTTTTTCAATTAAAAATTCACTATGCACCTCCCCCTTCCCTTTTTTCCCTGGAAATATCATCATTTTGTGCCATACCGATAAGCATAGGCAGTAATGATTTGCCATCATACATAGTCATTGAGATCACTTTAAAAAAAAAAACCTTAACAAAAGGGTATTAAAGATATAAATTGGCTAAAAACATCACATCATGCTTGCTCAGGATATGAGTTAGTAGAATGTACAGTAAAGGCACCAGACAGAAATCACTAGATATCCCTGACTGCCAACATGTACTGCAGAGACAAAGCAAGATAATAATGATTCTTGTTAGGAGCAACTGATAAACAAATGAGTAGAATGGTCACATGAATCCATTATGTCTTTTGTGTTGTCTCAAATACCAGACAGAAATTCGAAACTTGCAAGAGAAGTTGAAACTGGAAAAGGAATCTTGGGAAGAGAACTACATGAAAAGACATGAGACTTGGCTGGTTCAGAAAGAGAGAGAACTCAGAGAGAAGGTCAGAATGTGTCATTGGGTGTGCTCTTGTGATTTCATCATAATCTTGTAGTAGTGCCTTTACAGAGCATCACTCCCATCACAGTCTCTCTGAAAGAACCTCGGTTAGTCACCAGCTGTCTTGCCTTATGCACTTTCATGTCCATGGTGTCTCCTCAGTGCTGTGCCAACTTTTGTGCTTGTCGACCCCTGCCTCTCTTACCCAGTACTATACCTTCCTCTGCTGTTCTTTCCCATTCATTGTGATGTTTGATTTGCTCAAAGTATTACAGTTGCCCAGACAGGAAAGATGCATGCATTCAAAATTTTGACTTTGATTTCAGTTTTTTAGCTTGTGAATAGTAGCAATGACTGTATTAAAAGCCTATGGTTCAACACAAGCTACACTAAAGGAAAGATTTTTAAAAATATTTAATTTTCTTGGGGCAACCTATGGTTGATGGCATATTGAGAGAATTTCTTTATATTGAGAGAAAATGGCTGGGGCATATTGAGAATGAAAGAGAGGTGAAAACTGTAAACACAAGGGAGCTGAATGGTCGAAGACCACAAGGCAGACCAAAAAGACGATAGAGATATAATGCTCAGAGAAAGACCAGCAAACACTTGGTGTCACCAACTGGAAAGAGAAGGCCAACCAAAGAGATGAGTGGAGGTGAGTGATATCTGCAGCAATGAACCTCAAGGGCTTGGAAATCTGAAGAAGAGAAGAAGAACCTATGGTTGTTATACGTTCTTGGTTGTTTGCTCACATCAATCATTTTTTTTTTGCTTTATTCAGTTGTTTGTTTTGTAAATTCATAAACTTCATCCAGGTTTTATTTTAGTAAGACCTTCTAGGTTGTCATTAGAACACGTCTCTGTTAAAGAGTAAAACCTCTTTAACATGAATTCCAAAGGACCAAACATTCCAGAGTTAATGTTAAAAAAATTTGTGTTAACCATGGGCTCAAATTAAGACATCTTTGCAGGGACCAGAATGTTGTTCATATTAACCGACTGTTCTTCTTAAGTGATTTCATGTTAATTAAGTTTTCAAAGTTTCAAAACACTGATTTGTTTAAGTCCATGATGCAGTTAAGGACTTTATATAATTCTTGCTGTCTGGCATTGTTTACTATGTGTCCACAGCCTTTTGTCTCCTGTACTGCCAATCATTTCTGATGCAAATATTCCTCACTGCCTTAATGCTCCACTTTCTTAGCATGCTCTCTGCTAGTCTCCTCCAGCTTTTTTTTTTTTTTAAATACTCTTTATATAATTTTTTTTATATAATTTATATAGAAATTTATTTTCTTGTTTGTTCCCACATGGTTAAGATTTTGTGATTGAACACAGAAGGTGACTGGAATGTTTTTATTGTCAAGAATTATTTTTAAACCCTTCATATTATTTATTTTTGTAACAACTTGGCATGGGAAATTGTTTGCACCCTCTGGCTGATGCATAATCTATTGATACTAATTTTCATTAAACAGAGTGTTATTTACAAGAGTAACAAAAATTCTTAAACTAATTTGTTTTGAAAATAATTTCATCTTTGCTTGCTTCTTTGCACAATAGATAAAGAAAGAGCGAGACAAAGAGATAGAGCTGGTGATAGAGAGATTGGAAGAAGATGCATCCACGGTTAGGGAAGAAAATGAGAAGTCTACAGAACAGAAAATCAGGTAAAAATCTGATATCATTTGCTAGTTGTAAGTCTGTTTTACTCTTTCAGTCCCAAACAATGCATGATGTGTTACTGTTTTTTCCCCACACGCGTCAAACATCGCTTCAAGTGTCTTTTTATATTAAAGTTTTGGTGGGTGTATACTAAATAAAATCTGGCAACCACTGGAGTATCTTGCATTTATTTGTCCATTCCGGAACACAGCAAGTGGTTGGAGTCTTTGTGGCAGTATGTAATGAGAAATTATGATTTTTGTAAAAAAAAGAAAACTTATGGGACTGGAAGAGTTGAAATCATTTATTAACTGGAAGCCAGTTTAAGAAATTGGCTAGTAGTAAATCGGTTTGAAATAGCTTGCTTGTTTGTTGTAAGTCATTCAATCAGACGTCATTAACTAATCGTGGGTCGGTAAATCTTTCTGAGTTCATTAACTGGTAAGAAGTAAGTTTTTATTAATAATAATGAGAAAAAAACAAATATAGGTGTCCTCTTAGAAATATCCCACTTCAAGAATGTGAAATCAGACTGATTTGGGCAGTAATATAGATAAAAAGGGGAAAACTGATGATAGAATCAATTTGAAAAGAGGGGAGGACATTGAGTGAACTGCATGTGAAAGCACTATTAATTCCTTCGCCCATTTGAGGCCAGGTTGATCAAGGAGCACTAAGTCAGTTATAAAAATTGCACTGATCTAAATTCCTACCAGACACCTTCAGACCAGTTGACAAGCATCTTGGTTGACCCAGTGAGTACCATAAACCCAATATAACTCGAGGCATGGAAGGGGTTTACCAGGTTCCCTGTGTGGGCCCCACTTCCCCTTAACTCTTTGAGTCCCAGGGGGTTTAGCATCACAGGCCCAGGGGGTAGTAAAGAAAGTAATAAAGTCGGCACATCATGCGTTCATTGGGCTTCTAGGTAGGAACCTATGAACGTAAGATGCATTCCTTGGGACTCAAAGAGTTAAAAAGCATGTCATGAAAGATGACTAATTAAGGTTTTGCTGGCATTGCATACTATAATAAAAATCTATGGCAGCCTAGCTGTAAACTACAGTACGGTGTATCCACCAGTGTTGCCACTTTTCTTTGACAAAAAAACATTCAAAATATAGTCAAAAAATATCTAAAAACATCTAATTTTGTGTGGAAAACATCTAGAAAAAACATCCAAATGGAAAGAGTTACAAATTACATAGCAGTTGATATGACTTACCCTATAGAATCATGTCCTCATCTTTACTGAAGTTTGCCTTACAAGATCTACAGGATAAACTTAGCTTGGATGATGAAGCTTCAGATCCAAAATGACTCAGGTATGCTTTAGCTGTTCCAATTTCAAATTTCATCCTGTTTCTTAGGTTAGATTTGATAAATTCACTCCAAATGAAAAACTTCTAGAAAAACATCTACCATCTAAACATTAAAAATGCCATCTAAATGCAAGGGAAAACATCTAAATCTGGATGTAAAACATCCAAAGTGGCAACACTGGTATCCACTACTCTTTTTAATGTGAACACAGAAGAAGATGTTTACTTACTGGTTCACTTGTATTCCATTCTTTCAGGAGGTTGCGAGAGAAATTTGAAGCAGATACTAGAGAGTTGGAACAGTCAGAAAGAAGGGCTGTCAAGAAATACAATGAAATAAAGGTAAACTTTGACTCATTTCAAGAAACAGTAGAAACATTTTGTTCTGTTAAATGTATTATAATATTAAAAGGAAGCAGTAGTTTAACAGTTATAATTTTAATAAAAGCAAGTATTGGCTGAAATTCCATGTAAGACCTTGTTTTTTTTTAAATCTGTAGAAGGTAAAATGAAAATTGAAAAGCTGCAAACTGTTCACCCTTTCCACTTGTACTGAACTCCTGGCAAAATTGTAAAAAAATAAAATAGTTTTAGTAAGCAGTTTAAAATACGAAAAAATCCTTAGTACCTTAGAGGCTGTGATTATGTAATAGATAACAGGCTTGCCTGTCTTCTCGGTGTCATAGGTTTCAATATGCTTGATTTTTTTTTAATGACTAAGGCTGTACATTTCTTCCGTTTTTTTCTCTTCTAGTTTCTTAGGTTAGGGTTTAAGAGAAATTTAAGGATGCGGTTTGTTGTTGTTGTTGCTGAATGTTCTATTAAAAATCAACATCAAAACACTCCCATGAGCGCTCTCTCCCTGTCTCTTTAGCAGCAGGCAAAGAGTTCCAATTCCGATGGCACCAGTATCTGTCTAATTGTATATCTGTCTCGCCTTTCCCTTCAGTGGTGAGCATCAGCCAGATCCCCTGGTAACTCCTCGCAGATTTATTTTTTAAGATTCATACAGGGCATTAGTGTTAAGCTGATATAGCTGGAAAGAATGTGGCAGCATCACTGGTAGTGTATTGACAAAGCTAGAGATGTAAGTTGAGACAGAAATCCTGAAATGACTCTGCCATTGTGCCTTTCCTGTTTATCAAGTTTTTTTAAAACTGTAGTAGACATATGAATCTACCCTGGTTTACTTCAGTAAAAGTATAGTATCGCCTCCGACCTTTTGACTCCCAATTGAGTATTGACCCTTACTATTAATGTGATGTTGTGGTATATACATCTGTTCTAACAGCAGCCTCTACAGTGCTCATAGACTGAAAGCCAAAACTAATATTAGGAAGGTGCTTTTCAAGGAGCTGCTCTTAGCAGACGATTCTGCAATTGCAGCCCACTCACAGGAGGAATTGCAATGTTTACTGTCAGCATGTGCTGAAGCCTGATGTGAATTTGGACTAACAGTCAGCAGAAAGAAGACGATTATGGTGCAAGTTGTTGTTGATGATCGATATGCGGTCTACAATGATGGTGAAGAACTGGAGACTGTTGACTGTTTTACATAACTGGGAAACTCAGTCAAAACTAATTGTTAATCAACCAAGCAACCAATTTCAGGATAGGTAAAGCAGCAACAGTGATGAGCAGATTAACAAAAGAAGTTTAAGAGATTATTCTGCTCATGGTTAAAACAAAATGTTTGTGTTTTCAGCACTCTTCTTTACTGTAGCGAAACTTGGTCAGCATATTCGTACCAGGAGTTGAGTTGTTGAGTTGAGTCAAGAATTGACATCACAGCACTCAGGGCATTCCCATGCATGCTCCATTCTCATCTTCAGCAGTCAGCGCAGAGTTCCAATACTGATGGTACCGGTCACAAACTGGTTATTTGTCCGTCTTGCCTTTCCTCTGAGTGTATTGAGCCCGCCAGACCAGGAGAAAGGGCTAAATAATTTTCACATCTGATACCTACAACAAATACTTGGCATTAGGTGGCAAGACAAGATAACAAACACTGAGGTACTGGAAAGAGCAGGTCTCACAAGAGTTCACTCAGTTTTCTCATTGCTCAATCTTTGAAGGCTCAGATGGCCAGGAAACAGTTGAAGTATGGAGAATGTTAGAGTCCCCCAGGAGATACTCGGTTGTGAGTTACAGATGCATTGAGGTTGGCATCTACTACAATATAAAGATATGTGCTAGTGGAACATCAATGATACAGATATTGAGGCAGATTCATGGGAACAGGATGCCATGGACAACTTTGTACAGAGGGGAAATCAGGAAGGTAATAAGGAAAAATAAGAAAATCAGAGCTAGTTTCTTTTCTTTCAGACCCACTAATCTATGAGGGATGTAGATATATGCATGTTTCTTTAATTAATATATTTCCCTCTGGAAAAACAGCTTGACAGATTAACACCCAGTGACTTGAGGAGCCACTGTCCTGATGTGAATCCAACAGAAGCAAATCCTAAACAACCAATTTAAGCTTATAAAACAGTTACTTTAGGATACCTTCTGGTTACCTACTGTCGTATATGGGTGGAGACTCATATGTGGGTGGAGACTGTCATGTGTTGGTGGAGATTTTTCATGTGTGGTGGGGAATGTCATATATGAGTGGAGACTGTCTTATTTGGCTGGAGACAGTCGTATGTGAGTGGAGAGATGAATGTGATATATGTCATATGTGAGTGGAGAGATGAATGTGATATATGTGAGTGTACTTAATGCAACTTTTTTTTCATGGTTTCCATTGTTAAAAAATTTCTACTGCTTCCATACAGGCAAAACTAGCAGAATTGGAAGGAGAAAATGAACGAGCTAAAGTCATAATTAAGCAGAAGGAACAAGAAATGCTGGATAATAAAAAGGTGATTTCTTTTGACTATTTGGTCTCTCTCAGACAGGGTGTTCAAGATGTTTGCCTTGTACATTGAATATTATAGATCTTTTTTTTTTTTAAGGTTTACAGAGTATTTGCTTGCCAACCAACACAAAGATTGGCACAGGATATAAGTGAATCTTTGAGTATGAAAGTACTTAAAGTGAGAGCTGGTGAGAGGCCAAGTTTCTTTCAGGCAGACCGTGATGAGAGCGACATTCTGCAAAGACCTGCTACATGGTGATGATGATGTATTTGCTTTATGTGAGGCTCTCAGCAGACAGCTGGCCACTCTACAGAGAAAGATAGAGCCTTAAGAGATACCCTTTGCGATAGAGTTGATCCTCTCATTGTCTGGTGCCCATTTCTTCAGACTGGGTTGACCTTAGAGCTGGGGAAAAAACTTGGTCACTTCTAGGGTTTGAAGCTGGACAAATTCTAATCAGCCAGTTACACTATCCTTCTTCTTCTTCTTTGTTCACAGGCTGTAAGCTCCGGCGGAAAGTCCTGGTTGTACATCCATTTGGACTTTGTCTTTGTGCTAGGCCCTGAGTTTTGCGTGTATATCCATTTTGCTGGCTTATTTGTGAGCAGCTGATTGTTTCTTGGACACATCCTCAGAATTAAGAAAGAGAGATGGCCGAGACAGGCAGTGTAGTGGACACCCCAATAACAGCGAGGAAGAGGTAGGCCTAGAGGCACCTGGAGGTGAACCTTTGAGGCTGAACTCAAGGCTATGGGAAGGACAAAACTGGAGATAGAGAGGATGGCTCAGGATCGAATTGAGTTGCAACAGTTTGTCTCTGCCTTATGTGCCTCTGGGCGCAGTGAGGATTGATTGATTTTGTTTTTCCTTGCCGCTCGAGCAGATGCACTCCGACTTCAAAGGAAATCGCCAGTTAGTCAATTCTTGTGACATACTTGCTGGGAAGGCAGTGGATCTATTCTTGTTTTCCTCACATTGAGGCCTGGAACCCACATGCAGACTTACACTAACCACTGTGATACTCTTTTATTAAGATATTTCATCATTATCAGTTAGCAGATCCTTTACAGAATGCCTGAAAGTCTTCAATTCTCCAGCCCTGTGTGCTTTCAAAGCCAGTGCATCTTCAGCATCTTGTTTCCACATTTACAGAGGTCTGCCTCTGCCTCATTTTCCAGAAACTGTACTTAGCATCACATTCTCTCCAAGGTGATGATGATGAAACATGTGTTTAATCGCATAAAAATACAAATCACCAACAAGACATCCTATCCAGATAACAATGTATGTTTCCTGTTAACACTTCAAGGAAACGAGCGTGCAGACTATCTTGCTGATACTACAGTTGCCATGGCCGGCCCAGTACTGGACAGAAGTGATGTTATCAATGCCATGTGCTGCACTTACCGTACCGAGGAGCATGCCAAAGGACATGACTCAGTATCCCTGTCTAGACTGATGGACATGGGGATGTAGCCTGGAGCTGCAAGAAATGAACATTTCACTAAGGGGACAAGATGTTTCATTAACCAACATAGAACAGGCATCATCAGTTGTTTTACACTTGTGGAGCTTTTAAGGAGGAGATCGGAGCACCTGTGGACCTGTCTGGAGTGCTGTGATGATAATTCTTTCTAATCACTAATCACTTCATTAGCATTTTGACCTACAGTCAGCGGGATGTTTACAACTTCACCCATTGATCTGATTAGTCTGTGAAAATAATGGCCTGGCACCATACGCTTATCTGCCAGTCAAGAGGTCATGAGTGCGAATCCACACTGAATCACATTTTAGTTATAATTGGCTTTAGCTGCCCAGTTGACCCCCGCCTAAATTGAGTTACAGGAAATGCCTTGTGAAGCAAAGATGGCCAGTGGGATTTTGACCACATCGGTCATCGAGTGCTGGTCGGCCTGTAAAAATATGGGTCTATCACCAAGTTCCCATGCACCAAGGGCATGCAAAGAGTTTTTTTTTGTGTTGGGTAAACCGTATACACCTTCTGCTCGACTTATGACCATCCGCACCTATGACCATACACACTTATGACCATACACACTTATGACCATCCACACTTATGACCATCCACACTTATGACCATAAGCACTTATGACCATCTACACTTATGTCCATCCACACTTATGACCATACGCACTTATGACCATCCACACTTATGAACATATGCACTTATGACCATCCACACTTATGACCATAAGCACTTATGACCATCTGCACTTATGACCATCCACACTTATGACCATCCACACTTATAACCATACACACTTATGACCATCCACACTTATGTCCATCCACACTTATGTCCATCCACACCTATGACCATCCACACTTATGTCCATCCACACTTATGGCCATCCACATCTGGTTCTCTTACCACTATATATGTATAATATTCATTTGAATGAAAATAGTGTTGAAAAATATAAATTTGACTTATGACCAGTTCGACTTGTACCTGTTAGTCGTGGAGACGCTGTACTTGATGTGCCCGGGACATCATAAGGGTCCTTACTTGACTTTTACAGTAGACATTTGTGTTTCTGCTTCAGCTCATTGAGAAGATGAACTCAGAACGGAGCCACGTTTCTGACATAATAAGACAAGAGTTTGCTGACCGGATAGTGGCTACCGAGGAAGAAAACAAGCGGATCAAGCATGAGATCTCAGAGCTGAGAGCAAGACATCGCATTGAACTTGAGAAGGCTCATGCAGCACTGGATGACTTGAGGAAAGCAAATGAAGAGGAGATGGAGAAGGTGCATCAGAGGTAGGGAGCAAATTACTGAAGCTTGTGTATTCTATTACTGTTCCCCCCCCCCCCCTTTTTTCTCCTTTACTAATTATTTTTCTTTCTTTTTTTTCCTACTCTTACTATTTATGTTCATTCTGTTTCTTATTATCATTTTGCTTCTTCATCTCCTTTTTCTGTATCTATCCTTCCTTTTTTTTCTCTTCTTCATTATCTTTATCTTCTTTTTTCTTTTATTTTCTTCTTCCACTGCTTTGTTCATCCTATGTAGTATTTTGCTTGTGTTAAAGGTTGAAGTCGAGAGGATCAATTTCATTAGACTGGGTTTTATCATATATGGCTCGTTCTCTCCGCAGAACGGCTAGCCGACTGCCGAGAGCGCAGTACAAAGCATGAACTCTGTAACTCTAGCGATGATCCCTATAAAAATTGCACTCATAAACTGAAGGGCACAGCTGTGAAACAAAACCTATTACCTTCAGAGCACAGAGCTAACAGTATGACCGCTTCGCCATAGAGACCCCTGCTTGTGTAATGTCATTTACGTTAAAGCTGTGATACCCTCTTGCTTCCAGCCAACAAAACTAGCTGTAGAACACAGTTTGTCTAAAATCATGTTTTCTTTGCCTATTTTTTTAAATAATCGTTACCTCTGATGCTGACGACACCTTAAGGCTTTTTCTCATGAAAAACCATTGTCTGGAGGTCCTCTTAATTCCATACTGCTTGGAGTGTTCAGTCACTGTCTTTACTTTCCCAGAGAATTTCCTGGTGTGGATGTTGTTGTTTTTTTTTTTTTTTTTTTTTGCCTATAACTGTACACGCTCTGCATAACAAGCTTCTGGTCAGTATGGCAGATAGGCAGGTTTACTGTTTTTTGTCCCAGGTTTTTGCTGCTGACAGTATGTAAACTAAAAGGATATAGTTTCATCTCCTAGCAACAGAGTTCAGAGCTTGGTGTGACACTGTGAACTGCAGATTTCATTTAGAATGTTTTTTGACTGTGCCCAACATGGCTTATGTTGTTAACTGCAAATTCAGAAAATGGCAACTTGCCTAGGTCAGTACTGAAAATATTTCTCAGTGTGGATTGAAACCACCAGACCTTTTAGTTGGTAGGCAGGATGATAACAGTTTCTTATACATTGTGTTGCCAGGGTAAAGCAGGCCATTGTTAAGAAGGAAGAAGTGGTGGCCCAGCTGAAGCAGCAGTACCAGGCAGCTAATAAAAGAGCAGATCATCTTGAAGGGCTGTTGGAGCAGCAGAGGAAACAACTACTAAACAAGAAATAGTAGCATTTCTATATTTTGTTTAATGGACGGCTGTGTTTTATTTATTTATCGTTAAATTATTTGTTTTATTGTTGTCATAAGTCCCTGAGTAGATAGATGCTTTTGTCGTGAGTGGAAGTAATCTCAACACTTCACCTCCACGGTAGAAACTGGTATGTTGATTTCAGACAAAGTCCTGGATATTTAATTTAAAAAAACAGTCGTATTTGGCTTGTAATGTAAATTCACAACAGCTGCACTTAGTAGCCAGGAGTAGGAAAGGGGTTTTAGATGTCCTGAAAGCTGAAGTATTTTGACAATGTTAAATGTCACTTGAGGATGTTTCCAGAAAACAAGACAAAGGCAGACCTTCGTGAAGGTGGATACAGGATGTTAAAGAAGCTTTAGCTGTGAAAGGACATAGGGCTGGAAATTTGGCTAGAGACACTTTCAGAAGTGCCGTGACCAGAGGGACTTTCTGTAAAGGACCTGTTGGTGGATGATGATGTATACAGGATATCCATTGTTGTCTCCAACACTTGTCCAATGTGAGAAATCAACCGGGGGGGAAGGGGGGGGGGTTAGTATGAACAATTCTACAAAAGCTTTGATGTAAGTTGAGGGCCTGTTCTCCATTGGAAGTTGAAAGATTTAAGAAGAAGTTGACAAAATTTATTTCATTAGTAACTGAGTCTTCATCGTGTTCTTCTTCTGGCCCTTATCTCCTGTGGAGTATAGACCCCTAGCCAACTCACACCAGGTTGTCCTTTTCTTTGCAGGTTACTCCTTGTCTTTCCCACATATTTTGTCTCATTCTACAACTCTCTTCTCCATGTGGGGTTTTTTTTTTGGGGGGGGGGGGGGGGGGGGGGGGGGGGTGGGGGGGGGGGGTTCTACCTTTAATTCCTTTAGTGAGAGTCTGTAGTTTAGATGTTAGGAACACGATTCAGCAGCAGATCGTTTTGTGTCAGTTTCGACAATGGTATCCTGAGCCGATTGTACAGAAAGCAATGGCAAGCAACTACTGAACGTAAAATTACCCAGTAAAACCAAGCAGCCAAAAAATGCTGAGATTGGTCCTGTACGGTTATGCTGGCAAGGAACCAAGTTTTTTTTTTTCCCTGGATGTGATGGGAGGGATAATCAGAGATTGACCAACAAACTAGTGATCTGTACTGAATATAATGGCAGTAATTTTTACCATCCCAGAAACTTTTCTTGTATATTTTTAAGCTGATTAAAACTTGAGATTTTTGCTGGTGGAATAAAATTAGGAACCCTTTTCATGCTATTGGTATGTGAAACAAATAGTGTTGGCCCTATATTTTTATACACTGTTGAAGTTGACGGGAGCTGCCTCGTATGTAGATGCCCGCCTGTGGATCTAAAGGTTGTGGGTTCTGATCCTAATGGAGCCTGCCTTTTTATTTTCTCCAATAAATATCCTTGGCCTCGAGGTGGACCCAGCCTTAAATGGGGTACCAGATACTTGGAGGTAAAGATGGCTTGCATGATGTTAACCACATCACCCACCAAGCGCCGATTGGTCTGTAAAATCTAGTTCTAGCCCTGGATGCCCAGTACACCTGAAGGCGCGGAAAGGGGTCCTTTACTTTTTTACTTTTGTATATTTTTATATACTTTGAAATGTTTAATGAGTGAGATGGCCACTATCATGCCAAGTCACAATTATTTCCCAGGATACTTCCTGGTACTCATTTAAGGCTAGTTTGATTGCTGGATGAAAGAGACTCCTTAGCAAAGATTGGAAGTCATACAGAACAGCCATACAGAAAGCACTTATGAGGAAAATAAAACTCAGATCAGGTCAAGATAGCTGTTAGAACCCATTGGAGCACTTCGCAATCCTGAAGACTCAGTCGACCTTCTCCTTAGATGAAGGAAACAGACCATTATATTTAGATTGTGTACTGAACACAACAGACTCAGCGGGCATATGTACAAGAAATTCATGATTGTGAATTCAGAACTGTGCCCATGTGGACAGACACTACAGAATACTGAACATGTGCTAGAGACATGCTCTCTTTGTGCAGTAGAGAGATTCCCAGATTTGGCCAGTTGGAAACCAAGCTGTATGAATCCATGGAAGAAATGCTTGACGCTGTAGACTTCATAGAGGCCTGGGGCCTTCTCATCTCAAGCAGCTGGCAGGGAGAACGAAAAGAAAAAGAAAGCAGAAGCTGAGAAAGGAGTAACAGATCATCAAAATCATTGTCATGTGCCCTGCCAACTGGCATAGGTGCTCATGCATCTCCACAGATCACAATTCCTGGTTGCCTGAAACAGCTCCCCTGATGATATCCCTCCATGCCATCTTTTCAGCCTACCAGCATCATCTCTCTTGGTCTGCCTCTATCCCTTTTTCCACTGATTTTTCCAGTTGTCATGATGTTCTCTAATGTCTCTCTTCTCATTATGTGGCCAAAGGACAGTTTGTCTCTTTCTTATTGTTGTATATAGAGATCTACTTTCATTAGCTTCTTTCAAGCAATTGTTGCAACAGATCACTGTGCCTAATAACATTTAAAGCATCCGATTTTTTTCGTTTCTTTTTATTGTTGTTGACATTATTATAGAAAACAAAATCCCCAAACATAAAGTATCTTTGACATACCGGGCACATCAGGAAAATGCGGCCAGACTCCTAATTTTATAGTCTAATTGGCCTCAGGAGCTTGGTATCTTGCTGGCCACATGTAACTCCTTGGGCATTTCCTGGTACCCAGTTTTGGTTAGACTGACCTGGAAGTTAACAGGTTGACCTAGATGTTAACAGGCTGAAATGGAAGTTAACAGGTTTACTGTTAAGTCAGCTGTATGTGTATATTTCTGACAGCTGCATACTGTATTTTTCAATGGATAAGACAATATGTTTTCCTAAAGTTAAGTTTAAAAAATGGGGGGGGGGGGGGGGTGGGTGTGGTCCATTATACAGAATATGATTTAAATGTTAACTTCTAAATTTGGGGCTAAGAAATTGGTGTTTTGTCTCATACATGAGATAACTAATACATGGGAAAATGTACTGACTTTCTGAGTTGTTAGGTAGCTTGCTGCAAGCAGTCTTATCTAGTCCCATGTCCGTGTATTATCTGTTCTAATATTTTACTTTTGTTTGTTGTTGTCTTTTGGCCTATTTTCATTGTTTTAACTGTTGTTGGGGTTGGTTCTGCAATGTCCTGTAAAGGATGCACAGGTAAACTTTTTTTAAAGTGTTGTTACTGGTGTTGTAAAAATATATTCACATATTTTTATAGCTGTTATTTTTGTTTTAACATTGTTAATAATACTTGTAGAACAGTCACTGCAAGAAATGTAGCATGTGTGTGCATGTATACATAGTATGTGAATACGAGAGAGCAGATGAGGTAAAAAGTTGGAATCACCAGTTCACTTTATCATAATTTAGGTTCTGTACGTGGGATTTTCTAATTGTGTCTCGACTGCATCAGATATCCCTACACCTAAGTATACTAATTTTAATTTATTGGACAGCTGGCCTTCTATAAGTCTTCCAGAACTTCAAAAAAGTGAGTGCTTCAAGGCTTTCTCTCTGTCTGATTACATCAGATACTATATATTTTAATAGGTTATTCATTTGCAAAATATCTCTCTACTAATAAATGAATTATTGTTCTAGAAAGGGAATGTCAAGGTTACTTAGACTTGTTGATTTTTCTAATTATGAACAATATCCTAACTTCTGACACACATGTGATGGTTCTAGAAACAAATCTGTTAAAACTCAAGAAGCCATGGACCCAGCATTCCCGTGACTCCATCGCATAAATGTTGCTTGTCTGGCATTTCCTTCTAGGGCCTGTTCCCATGGTGTCTAATTATTGGCTTTATGTATTGTTTGTGTTTGCACAATGTTTAGAAGGCCCAAATATTTAGATATATTTACTTCTTCTTCTTCTTCGTGTTCACTAGCTGTTAACTCTGGCCGAAAGTTCTGGTTATTCATCCACTTTCGGACTGCAGTCCTGTTCCAGAACCTGAGTGTTGCGTGTGCATATAGACTTACAGATATGACTCATTTGTATGCAGATTGCTGGTTCCTTGCCTCTCAGGCAGAGGCACTGCAACTTCGAAGGAAATATTTACTTCAAAAATTTGTATGGGGGGGGGGGGGGCTTTTTGTGAACAATCTGGCATTTTGAAAGCCATTTTTATGTCATGTGCCCATACGTAGCCTTAGTATTGGAATTCCTATGAGTGTTAGTCACCCGAAACAATTTTTTGTTTAACCCCTAGGGCACATTTTTCATTTAATGCTTTCACTATGCTCTGTTTTTTGATAATTTCCTTGATCTGTTTCGTTAAAAAAAAATTAAGTGTAAAGTGAATTTCATTTAATTGATCAGTGAAATGTAAATAAAATGGTTGTTTAAAGTTTTTATTTTTTGTTTGTGGAAAATTCTGGGTTCAGAGAGTCTCTCTCTCTCTCTCTCTCTCTCTCTCTCTCTCTCTCTCTCTCTCTCTCTCTCTCTCTCTCTCTCTCTCTCTCTCTCTCTCTCTCTCTCTCCCTCCCTCCCTCCCTCCCTCCCTCCCTCCCTCTCTCTCTCTCTCTCTCTCTCTCTCTCCCCCCTTCCTCCCTCCCTCTCTCCCACCCCTCTCCCACCCCTCCCCCTCCCTCCCTCCCTCCCTCCCTCTCTCTCTCTCTCTCTCTCTCTCTCTCTCTCTCTCTCTCTCTCTCTCTCCCTCCCTCCCTCCCTCCCTCCCCCCTCTCCCTCTCCCTCCCTCTCTCTCTCTCTCTCTCTCTCTCCCCCCCTCCCTCCCTCCCTCCCTCCCTCTCTCTCTCTCTCTCTCTCTCTCTCTCTCTCTCTCTCTCTCTCTCTCTCTCTCCCCCCCCTTCCTCCCTCCCTCTCTCCCACCCCTCCCCCTCCCCCTTTTTTTTAGCATATCTGGGATGAAAATGGTTAATGGTTAAATCTTAGCCTGTTACATTTGGTCAAATGTCTCCTTTTTGTAGCCTTGGTAGGTTGGTTAGTTGC